GGCTTCGCGCTCCCTCCCGGGGCGCCTGGCGCTCGGAAATTTCTGGAGCGACGACCTAACTCTCTCTTTTCTCCCTTTCAGGTTTTGAAGCCGCTTCTTTGCTCGAGTTTAGGTCTCGCCCAGCCCTGTTTCTTTCCTACGTACTTTGTGCGAATAAGTTTTGGAGCATCGGTTAACAGCCTGTGGGTGAAATTTGGCTTTCATTCATGAACGAGGTATATAGTGAATTACTTCTTGAGGAAAGTGCTCCTCCTCCTCGCCGCTAGCTCTTGGAAAGTAAAGGAGGAGGCTGTTTCATTTTTTAGAATTTATTTATTTTTTTGCTGTTACAGTCTGGAACAAGCCGTCTGTCAGAGTTTTGTGACATCTCTGTAATTTGGGGTGCTTTAGTAGATACTGCACAGTAGTGACAAAATAGGCCTACTAAATTGTCTTTTCTTTCCAACTTCTTTTAGATTTTTTATTCCTAGCCAGATTTTACAATTAGGTAGGTGCTGTGGCTCCCATTAGAAGCACTAATGAAAGACCATCTTTCTTTTACCGAAAAGCCAGTGAAAATTTTTTCCCCACCATTCAGTATTGTCTATGTGGGAAATATACTTGTGATTGTAACCTGAATCGTCAGTTTAGTAAATTTGACGTGAAGCTGTGAGAATATTATAGAAACTTTATGGCAAATTAAGGTATTAAAAATCTTTAATCTTTGGAAATATAGGGTTTTTTCCTTAATATGTTTATAACACTGTGGTTGGTATTAGTCAAATCCTAATCAATGGAAGATACTCTTAATTGTCATAAATGGCTGCAACAGACTTATCTATAAGATACCAGTTAGTGGCTTCACTCTGTGGACTAAAAGCAAGAACCTACAAGTTGACCAAAAGAACATGGGGGCAAATGAAAATACATGTGTTTTATTGGTGGGAGAATCCCTTAGGTCCTCCACTCAGTTCCTGTTTGTAATTTTTGCTTAGATTTTTTCAGCCCAGGGAAGTTAGGTGCTGCAGATTGGAAAGGGGAGGCAATATTTATGAAGAAAATACAGAATTTAAGGCATACCCATTAAATTTACATGGTTGGTTTGCAGTAATTGTGTTGGGAGCAAAGTTTTGGTATACATTTGGCACTTGGTTGTGAACCTTAATTTATAAGAAGCTAAAGTGAAAGATAGTGTTTAGTTATGTTATTTGAGGAACAGAACATAAAATAATACACATTTTTAATTTCACTGGGCATTAAATCACTGATGCTCAATGCCATTTCACTTTATGCTGTTTTATAAAAATTTAAGTTATAATTCAGTGAGGCCACACCAGTCGGACTAACTGGTTGATAGTGTTAGTGGAAGAAGATTGCCATTTATTTTATAAAAAGGAATAAACATGATTTCCTTTATTGAGGGTTTTATACATACATCAGTTTTTAAGTGCCCTAATTGTGGTTCCCAGGACTGAGGTATGACCACAGCTGTTATCTGTCTTGTCCCTAGAGAGGTCATAGTCTAGAGGGATGAAGTCACAGTGGCAGTGGTCCTCAGAACTTCGGCAGGAACCAAGAGCACCAACCATTTTGAAATCCTGCTGCTTACAGTTTAGATTGTTCATTTTTAGAAATAATTTATTTTAAGCACCTGATATAGTCTAATTCTTCTTAATCAACACTTTAAAACCAATCATGTTTTCCTAAACAAATACATTTCCTAAACAAAATTAGTTGTGATAGTTGGTGGAATGGCACTAAATTGAAACAACTTTGAACTAATAATCTTTAATTCATATTTGCATTATGGGAATTGGGGATTATCTGTAGAGCACTTTGCATTTTCTTTTGCTCTCCATCCTACTTTAGAACACAGCTTTCAGTGCACATATAGCTTGGTACTCGGGGAATTTAAGTATTTAAAAAAAATCCAAATTTAATAAATTGATCTATTGTATGCCAGGTGCTGTGGTATTTGTTAGGATGTTGAAGTCAGAGTTGTAGGGGGTTAGGCACAACAGTAAACATAATTTTAAATGAATTAATTCAATAATAAAAGTAAACATAAAGTAGAGAAATATTAGAGAGAATGGGATGATTAATTTGAGGGGCAGGTTAAAGAAAGCTTCATAGGAATGCTAGCACCTGAGCAGATTTTGAAGAATGAATACAAGTTTTAAGTGGAAGAGAATGGAGAGCATTTTAGGCAAAGGAAATAGCATAAAAATATGAACAAGTAAAACTAAATGTGTGTTTAGGAAATTTTAGGTAGTTTTGCTGGAGCAAAATCTGAGGAAGGATAGTTGTTATAAAATGCTCTAACATATGCTATAATTACTAAGTCAAGTAATTGGTGTATTGAGTATCTATAAAATGGAGACTTCCCTATAATTTGACATTGCTGCGATGTCAAGTATAGAGTAATTAATAGTTTTTACTAATAATAGTAATTAAGAAATTATTAAATATTACACTTATATGTGATGAGCTACCTGCATATTTATATTTGTGAACTTACTTGTTTCTTGTGCATTTGGACCTGAACCATTTATTTTTAAATTATTTTGTGAATTTTGTCTTCCTTCAACTACTTAATTAAGTTAGCCTTTAAATTATTTTTAAAAGGAGACTCAAAGGGAAATAGGGGAAACACAAGAAATAATCATTAGATTTCTGGACTAAAACCTAATTTGTATAGTATTTTAGTATTGTGTAAGTGTATGTTTAATATATAGCACTAGCCGCCACATTCAGAGACATAACCAATGTAGGTAGCTTAGGGGATGTCCACTATACTTAATTTTTTCTTTTTTCTTTTTTTTTAATATATCTTTATTGATTTCAGAGAGAGAGGAAAGGAGAGGGAGAGAGAGAGACAGAAACATCAATGATGAGAGTCATTGATCGGCTGCAGCCCGCAACCCAGGCATGTGCCCTGACTGGGAATCGAACCCGGATTGCCTGGACCCTAGGTCGATGCTCAACCGCTGAGCCCAGCTGGGCTACTTAATTTTTTCATAGTATACCTTAAGTTCACATCATTTAAATGTATATAAACATCAGAGGTATTAAAGACTGTGTGAGAGAGAAAGGGAAAATAGTAGGGAGAGAGAGAAGAGCTCTGTTTAAATCTATTTATCCTAATGTCTCTTAAATATGACTGTAGATGGAAGTGCAGTAGTTTTAGCACACAGGATTGAAGGAATATTAACGCTAGCCATGCCATAAAGTATCTTTAAAAAAAATCCTGATGTTGTCATAGTCTGCCTCTTTATTCCTTTTTCTCTTCAGGGTTTAAAAAAAAAAATGAATTCCTGGATTGTACAACATGAGTATTTTTTGCAAATTCTGAAATATTTGTTAATGAAGGTAATGTTCTCGTAAAAACATGCAACATAATTAGTTTTTGACAGTTGCTGTCTGTCATTGACATTTGACAGTTGTCTTCTGCATTACTAACGTAAAGGACTAAAGGCATCTCCTTGTCAGTTCTGACCTGCAGTTGCCCTTTCTAAGTTTGCCATGGCAGAAAAATCAATATTGCATTGATTACATCATGTTTAGCTTTTTAAATTTGGGTATAGATGACCATTTTTCCTTTTCAAGATGAGATATTTTTCTTATAGAAGAAATATTGTCATTATAGAATATTTGGGGAAATAGTGAAAACTATACAAAAGGAAAACAAGCATAATGAGTAGTACCATGTATTTCCTTCTTTTTGGTATGTATATAAGACGCATTTACAGATTAGAGATTATTTTTATATTTTTATTCCCTTTTTTATTTAAAATTTTCATTTCCCCCTCTCCCACTTCTGAAGACTGGTTAGTGTACCTTTTGACCTGGTACGTAGATTTCTCTAATGGCTATTGAGGTAGATAATGTGTTGGCTATTTATGATGTGCAGCATGGAGCACAGATGATTGAGCCTTCCAGTTGTCCTATCTCCTATTCCCTCAGCTGCTACTAGAGCTATTCTTTAATATTTACCATTATGTAAAGTATAGTGCAAGTGGCTGCCACTATCCTGTTCTCCTTTTTTGCACTCCTGCTGACCAAACAAGGGATCATTATAGGTGAGTATTTTCCTTTCATTCTATTCTTTCATAAGTTAAAAGTATTTTATTTGTTTAATTTATCTTTATTGTTGAAAGTATGACAGATGTCTCCCTTTTCCCCCCATTGACACCCTCCACTCCGTTTCCGCTCCCCACCCCAGGCCTTCACCACACTTGTCTGTGTCCCTGGGCTGTGCACATATGCATATACGTTTTTTGGTTGATCTTTTATTATAACATATGGGTTGCTGAGGTAGTATAGCTTAGGGAGCTGCCTCCTCAGAAAAATAATTATTTTGTCTTGTCTTTGGAATGTTTATTATTCTTTTCTCAGTTTAACAGTATTCTAATGTTTTCTTTTCACTTTGTCTTTCTGTCTTTTATTATTTTCATTCATTCAGGAAACATTTATTGTCTGTCTACTGTATGCCCACTATTTAAGACTTAGTCCTTTCTGTGATTCTTGGGTTTCAGGTAGATTGATGTTTTCCTTCTGCAGTATATTAGGTATAATCTTTAGGTCTTTGACTCTTTTCAGTGGCTCATTGCTCAACACTCACTTCTTAATGCCTAACAACTTTTTTCTTATTTCAAAGATTAAAGCCTTAGCTTTTAGAATGGCCAGATGTTGATTTAAGTTTCAAAACATTTTTGCAATGGAGTCAGACATGGTTAGCCAAATTTTTAAATAGGTTGTGCCAATTCTCCTGTACCTCATAGCACCTCAAGACATATTTCAGTTAATAATTATAGTAAGAATACCAGTAGATGTTTATATTTGAGTGCTTCTGCTGTACTGGCTTCTGTTCTATTAATGTACATAAAGTACATTAACTTATTTAATCTTAAAAACTCCATGAACTGGGCACTTTTGTCCTACTTTCACAGATGAGGACACACAGATCAAGTAGGTGGTTTAGGGGCTTACAGTAAGCAGCAAGTTGGGTTTGCCTAGGTTTCTGCTGTTTGACTTCAGCGCAGGTGTCCCATTGTCCCCAGACTGAGAGGAGATCTACAGTGTCTATATAGAACAGGGCGAGGGAAAATGTGTTACCTTTTTTTATAGTATATGATTAGGATAGGTAAAAACAAAATATATTAGGAAAGTAAATGTTGAATTTATTAAAAACTTCAGGATCATATCGGAGTTTTCAGTGAGGAAATTATACTTAGTTAGGATATGTTCCTTGATTTTAAAAGGAGGTAGGGAGGGGGGGGAGAGAGAGAGAGAAAGAAAGAGAGAGAAACACTGATGTGAGAGAGAGAAACATCAGTCAGTTGCCTCCCGTATGGGCCCTGACTGAGAATCAAAGCCACAACCTAGGTATGTGCCCTGACTGGAAATCTAACCTACAACCTTCTTGGTGTACGGAACAATGCTCCAACCAACTGAGCCACCTGGCTGGAGCCCTGGTCCAGACTTTTAAGTGATGTTTTCTTCAAATTGAGTTTCCATTGAAATTTTGTTTGAATGAGTAGGTAACAAAAACAAATCATTTTTGTAGTATGATCATTCACTAGTTTATAACAATTGAAATTATTTTTAAAGAATCTAAGATCTTTTCTTATCAAAATTTAATAATATAAAATTTCTTGTGATACAGTGAAAGTTTAAGTTCAGTTGCACGTTCGTTTCATTAAAAAGGCATGTTACTGGCAAGTGGAGGGAAATGTCTGCTATTTGTGAATGTAGAGATTTCAGGCTATTGCTTGGAACCTTGCTCATTAAGAGACTTTGTGCTTCCGTACTCCTGATGTCAGTTGCTGCTCCCTATACTGTATGCCTTGTGTTTTGGGCATCTAGAATACAAAGTCTTACAATAGTTCCATTAACCTGTCTACCGTAATGGGCAGCAGTGCATTCGGCAGCTGTCTGATGTAATTTCCAGGGGCTTCAGCACTTCCCTTGACACAGTTGAGAAATAAGTACAGAGCAGCACGTGCACCAGTTGTCCTCTGGGGAGAATCAAATAGGGCTGCTTGCATCTGGTGGTCACTGGCCTAGAGTGTCTGCATTCTCCAGGGTTTTTTTGGTGGCCCCAAGGACAAAGGGTAACTATCTGAGGGTACACTGGTAAGGAAGCTCTGCTCTATGCCACAGAAAGAAAATGCCTATGAGCTTTGGAGAGATGTTTTAGAACAGACATCTGTGAACATTTAACTAATTCAGAGCAATCCAAATATGAAATCACAGTTTTTTTATATAAGTCTTAGAATGGAAAAGATATTTATTTGTGCAAGATACCAGTCATGATAAGGCTAGGTATATTGCAAGAGCAACCTGAAGATCTCAGATGTTTAAAGAAATAAAGTTGCTTTCTTGCTCAAGCTACATACAAGGTGAGGCAAAAGTAGGTTTACAGTTCGTATGGAAAATAATACAATAATTAATAAATAATAATAGAGTAAACTCTGTTCACACACAGTTGTAAACCTACTTTTACCCCACCCTGTATCCATCACAGGTTAGTAAGGAGACTTTGTTCATTGTGGTTTCATGCTCCATCAGACCTGGCTGATTGATGGAGACACTGTCTCAGCATATGTTTCCACAGTCACAGAAGCAGGGAAAAGAGAACGTGGTGGACCATGTTCTGGCTTTTAAAGCTTTTTAAAGCTTATATTTCACTAGCCAAAGTCATTCACATGGTCATGCCTGCATTCAGTAGGAGAATGATAAATAATTCTCCTTTAGGGAGGGACAGTGAATATTTGTGAACTGCTGCCACATGCAATTTATAGTCCCCACAGTTAAAATTAAATATAATAATAGTTGAACAACTTTGTTGGATTATTGTATCTAAAGTGTTCAAAGCAACTAAAACTTGTAGGATTTTAGCATGGCATGTTGAAGTTGAAGCAGAATTAATGTTTTTTATAATATTTTTGAGTCTGGAACTTGTTTCATTTTGTAATATTTTCCCCTTTAATAGCTTACACCTCATTTCCCATGCTTGCAGGAAAGATTTAAGCCTAAAAATATGTCATAATTTATCAGTGTGACACCATCTCTGTATGTTGTGGTATTTTATCTTGATTTGCATATTTCTGAGCATAGGAGCAATAGGTCTTAAGATGGTATTAAAATAAAAATACTTTGATTTAATAACTGCTAGGCGGCATCTTCAAGTTTCAGCTCTTGTTTGACTTTCATTGTTCAACAAAAAAATTGAAAGATTTCAAATAATATTCTGGATTCTTTGGTTAAGATGGAAGATTGAACACATGCTTCTCATTTTTGTTCCCTCCTGAAAACATACAAACTGTAGTGTGCTTTTAACTTTCAAAATGGACCTTAATTATTCCCTCCTCTTAGTATTCACACTTTTGCATAGTTCCCTCCCACACTGAAGAGGGTGGACCCGTGTAAACAGTGGAATATTGTAGAAATGACAGTAGCTTTTTCAGATATCAGCACTGTAACTTGAGACATACATGATAAAACTAAAGAAAAACAAAAGAATAATTAAAAAATCAGGTTAATAATTATCTCTGGACGGGGAGTGGTGACATGCTGCTGGGGAGAGGCACAGGGTGGGTTAATGTTCTGTTAATCTTAAAAGTGCTGGGTACTTGGAGTGCAGTTATTTTTTTAAAACTTAATATTTTATTCAGTTGTGTACCTGATACTTCAGAATAAAAACAAACAAATTTCTACATTTTATAATTTCTTAAGAAAATCTGTTTTCCTTTTAAATTGAAAGAGTATTTAGACTTCTAAGTAGTTACAAAGCTTCTTTCTTTGAATTTGCAGAGTAGGGTTCAGCATTTCTAGGTTCAGGTCCTGACTTTCCCATTAACTTGTGTAATGGCCTTAGGCAAGTCACTTAACCAGTCTAAGCACCAGTTGCCTCATCTGTAAAGCTAAAAAGTTTGGGTTAGAAATTACTAGAGGACTTTCAATATCCTGTCTATGTTCTTAAAAAACTGAAAATACACTAAACGAAACCACTCCTGCCCACGCTGGAATGGTAGGATGCACTGAGGCTAGTGAACTAAAAGATAATGTGGAGGGAGAGTTTGAAACATTTGAGGGAATTTAAGTTCTCTATTTTGTTCTCAATTCTGTGACTTAGTGTAACAGTCTCTAGGTTCAAACTTAAGGCAGCATTTTGTATATAACACTGTTCTTCCTTTCCTACTCCTTATTTTTCCTGTTTTGGAAGTTGGGGATAAACATACTTTTCTGATGTAAACCATATTGATTTAGGATGTTCTCCATAAATATGTATATATTTTAGCAGTATATTTAAAAGAAAGGAAAACCATGAATTTTTGAAAACTGTATATGGAAAAATGAATCCATTGTATTGGTGGTAGTCTTGCAGTAGTCTGTGAAATCTCAATATATCATTATTCTATTTTCTATTATACAATTTTATGTTGTTTTTAAGTTAAAAAGTATGTTATTGCCCATAGGATTGTGGATATGAATCCAAATATACTGTCTGTCCGGAGAAGTGTATGTATATATAATAATTTATTATTATTACTCTGGAATCTTGAACAAATTTTACAGCGTATCTTTACTCACCTGCCTCCTTTTCTCCCTCCACAGGAATTATTCTTGACAGAAGTATTTTTAAAGAAAAATATTTACAATGGCCTCAGCAGTTCTTAGTTCTGTTCCCACTACTGCGTCTCGTTTTGCCCTTTTGCAAGTGGATAGCGGCAGTGGCTCTGATTCTGAACCTGGAAAAGGCAAAGGTCGGAATACTGGAAAGTCTCAAACAAGCAAATCAACTACAAATGAGAAAAAGAGAGAGAAAAGAAGAAAAAAGAAGGAACAGCAACAGAGTGAAGCAAATGAGGTAACAGTTACAATTATCTGTGTTTGCTTTCCCAGTAGACTGTAAGTAAGCATTATGAGGACAGGTACTATCTTACTGACCCATGTATCCATAGTACTTGGTTCATAGGTACTTGGTAAATATGACTTGAATGAATGTATATAAATTTGTATGTATTTAAAGTCAGTATAATGAACATTTTTTGTTTTTTAATTTAATTTAATTTTTCCCATCACCATTTATCCCCCCATACCCTCTTCCACCTCCACCCCTGCCATGCAATCACCACACTATTATCCATGTCCATGAGTTTGAGTTCTTTCTTTTTTTTTCTTTTTTGCTCAATCCCTTCACCTCCCCTGCTTTTCCTCATCCCCCAGAGCTGTCAGCCTGCTCTGTATAAGTCTGTCTCTACTTTGCTTGTTTGTTCAGTTTAATGTAATGAAAAAATTTTAAATGCCTTTATGGAAGCTTACGTGCTCATTCCAAAAGGTAAGGAAGTCTTAAGAGGAAACAAAGGCCATTTGTAAATATAACTAGAGCTATAACCAGCAGATACGTAAATACACATATATCTATATTCATATTTTACTTAAACAAAAATGGGGTTATATAAGACTTTTATCCTGGCTATTTATTCTAATTAGCCATGAGCAGTTTCCATATGAATAAATAAAGTTCTATATTATTTTAAATGACTCCACATTATTTAATTATATGGCTATAATCATACTTTATTTAATTGAACCCTTGTGATAGACATTTAGGTTGTTTCCCATTTTTTTTCTTACTATTATAGCAGTAATCCTAAGACTAGCCTGAACATACATTTTTATGCATTTGATGATCATCTTTCTTTTACAAGGCAGGCCCCTCTCCCCTAGACATTTTCATCCTGAGTTACATGACCAACACTTAATGTGCCCATTTGTTTTTAAAAGAAATGCTGAAAAACAACTCCATGTTGGTCTTTACAAAAAAATATTTTTATTGTTGAGAGTATTATAGATGGCCCCCCCTTTTTTCTCCCTCTTGTCCGCCACCACCTGGTTTCCGTCCAGCCTCAGGCCTTCATCATCCTATTGTCTGTGTTCATGGGCAGTGCATATATGCATATAAGTTCTTTGGTTAATCTCTTCCGTACAACCCCTCCCCTCTTCCCTCTGAGCTTTGTCAGTCTCTTCCATTTTTCCATGCCCGTGGTTCTAATTTATTCATCAGTTTATTGTGTGTTTATCTTTTAATAGAAGGAGCAGTTAGTTATATAAGGACCTTTTTCAATATCATTTAATGAGAGAAGTAGTAAAAGTGTCCTCCCCAATATTTATTTTATAATGTCCCAAGACTTAGGAAACAAGTCTTTTCAGTTTGTTTCTATTACATTTTTATCACTATTGCTTTCTATGTATCTCTTTAAAATGCTGCCACACAGAGAATAACTTCAAAAGAAAATATATTTTCCCTACCATATATCCTTTCAGAAGTCCAGTCTTTCAGAACTTTTGATTGCCTACCACTTTCATTTTGGAATTGATGATGTGGGGGAACAGAAAATAGGGTAATAATGTAGTTTACATTAGAGAATAAGAAAACGTGTAACTGAGAATGAGCCTGAGGATCCTTTCTTTCCAATTCCTTGGCTGTGGTTCTATCAGTCTTTACTTTCTGTAAAGTAAAGCAACAGTCTACTCGCTAGTGCTTCATCTCCAGTAGCATCTCCTCCTCTGTGACTTTTCCACAGGAAAAAACGGCGAAAGAGATGTTTGTATCTCATCACTGCCTTTTGCAGAACCATATATTGATTATTAGTTAAAATTGTTGATTCTCAATTTAAAGCCTTTTTATTAGTTTCCCTAAGGCTGTCATAACAAAGTACTACAAACTAGGTGGCTTAAAACAACAGAAATTTATTCTCCAATGGTTCTACAGGTTGGAAGTCCAAACCAAGGTGTCAACAAGGGCTGTGTTCTCTCTCAGACTCAAAGTAGAATCCTGTCTTTCCTCTTCCAATCTTGTGGTGGCCATCAATCCTTGGCTTCCAGCTGCATCACTCCCAATTTTTGCCTCTTGTTACTTGCTTGGCATTCTCTTTGTGTATGTTTGTCTTCACCTCTTCTTATAAGGATACCAGTCATATTGGATCTGGGTCTACCCTAATTCAGTATGACTCATCTTAACTTGATTACAGCTGCAAAGACCTATTTACAAATAAAGTCACTTTCATAGACACCGAGGGTTAGGGCTACACCATATTTTTTGGGGAGATATATAATTCAATCCATAACACCCTCTCAATATTTTTCTCTCTTGTTTCATTTTCTGTGTCTCTGATTATTCTTGTTGCTGGGAAGTGGCTTGGCCAGTAGAGTTTTAATTCATTATGTTACTTTGAGGACTAGCCCTTGTATTTTTTAGGACTAGCAAAGTAGTTGCTTGAATTGCATAAGCTATCTTTTCTCACTATTTAAACTTTTAAATTTGTAAGCTATTAAACTTTAATCTTTTTTGAATCTTATTGTTTTGTATTTTAAAAGCACACGTAATCTAATGTTCTACTCCTATAAACTTCTTCCCTTAGTAAAGCAGAATTTTTAAAATGATGGTATAATAGAATACAATCCATTTTTACCTATTAATCATTTTATCTAGAAATCCACCAAGCATTCTCTCAAATGCTTGCAAAATTAATATTCTACGAAGATTATAAAAAATGGAAATAGCGTTTGGAATGGTGTTTAGAAGTGTAAAATTACTGTTGATTTCTTAACTTCCAAAAAATCATTAGTATCTCAGGATTGGTAAACTGAATTTAATATATTCTTTGTTTGTTTCATAGCTCAGGAATCTTGCTTTTAAGAAAATTCCCCAGAAATCCTCCCATGCCACTTGTAACACTCAACATGAGCTTTCTTTACCAAACCCAGTACAGAAGGATTCACGAGAAGAAAATTGGCAAGAGTGGAGACAAAGAGATGAGCAGGTACAGATAAGTAAATGAAATGATATTGCTTTGACTTTCAATGAATGTATTCATTTTAAAGATGGCAGTTCATCTGAGTCTGTGACACCACTGTTCTGAGGAGCTTTTTGTATTGGATTAATTCACATGTTTGCTGCTTTCAGTAAGAATCCCTAGACCCTTCAGTAGGCAGGCTGACGCTCTAACCACTTAGCCAAACAGGCTAGGGCCCATTCTGAGTTTTAAATCATTTGAAGAAAAAAAATACATGGCCCACATAGCAAAACTTATAAAGCAAAGGAAATTGCAAGGAAGCCTTCGAAATAAGGCTAAAAAAGGATATATAAAAGGGTAATAGGCAAACACTGTGTTTTATAAATAAATATAAATAATTGGAATTTCTCATGAAAAGACAAAAACCAATTGGGACAAACTGTCTGAACCACAGTTTGATCTTAATTCTAATATTTTCCGTAACATTAAAAATTGTGATATATTGCCCCTAAAAGTATTTGTTCAGGCTATTCAGGATACCGTATATTTTGTTGAGGTATGCTACCAAAGCTGCTAGAAATTATAAAGATGATCTTTACTGCATTATTTGTCCCTTAAAGAAATATATTTTTTTTTAATCTCATTTTCCATTTCATAAACTTGTATCTATCCAGCATACTTCAGTGTGGAAAGATAGTTGTTGTTTTTTGAAAGATAGTTTTATATTCCCTCTTTGCAGAGATGTATACATCAAAAGTAGGTATATATTTCACACTTGAAATGGGTGAATTTTATGTGATAAGAAATATATAAAATATGTGAATTATATCTCAGTAAAGCTTAGTGTTTAAAAAAAGATGAATAGGCCATGGCTTTGATTTGATGGCATTCATAATTTTTACTGTTTCTTTTAATATTGAATCAAGGTCAAGATAACATATTGTTCACTAACACCTATTCCCTAGGAATAAGTCTCTGTATAGATGTTGCTCAGGCATAACCTCTTTTATTCATAATACATTGATATTACTGAGTCCAGTGTTCTTTTTTTAAGTCTCCATCATAGCTCACAAATAATTAACTTAATAGAAAAATCTCTTCTCATGGGTTTTCAGTGATAAATAGTTTAGATCAAATTTTATTTTATATTTCCTCCTCTTATTGTATTGATTCAAACTCCACACATCACTGGTTTTGTCTAGCTCTAAAGTGAAGCATCTGCTAGCTTGTGCACAATACTAATTGTTCTTTCACATTGTTTTCCAATCCATCTGATACTAGTGTTTTGCCAATAGCTTGTTCTGTTTTATGTTTGTGAGTGTGATATTTTTCATTAATATTAAGTCTTTTGGTATAATGAATCTCTTGGCAATAGTTTGACCTGCCCTTGGTTTCCCTATAGGAAGTGCAAATTCAAATAAATCTGTGATTTTTGGCTCTTTCTTTAGCAACAATATTCATTACTTTTGTTCTGGAAAGCAACTATTTGAAGCTTGTTCTGGAGAGACTCCTGCAGGTCATTGTGCTTTGAAAGTGAAACAAAAACTATGTCTTCAGGCCACAGTCTTGCCCATGTTTCATAGCTAGGAAAAAATGGATTGATAATTCAGTAAATCAAAATTCCAGATATCCTCTATCTTAATTTTTTATTTATAATTTTCTTTTCAGCTGCTTATAAGATATCGCTGTTATGACACATACAGGTTTACATTCAGTATTCACTGTATTAGTCCTTATTTATGTTGTTTTTATAAGTTGCATCTTTTCATTACTATGTTTAGTCCAGTGAATCATTGAAGTGTTTATTACTTGGAGATATAATCAAGCATACAACAATAATGCAGACTTAATAAATGCAAACAGCACTCAAAGACGTGAAGATTCATTAGCTGAGATGAACTGAACCTTATAACTAGTGCGAACACACAGATAACAGTTTTTGTAGAACATTGACAACCTTTAAAATCATAATGTTCAATAAGACTATGAGATTTCGGGGGAAATACTTCTGTTTTCCAAATTAGTGAAAGATATGTGGTCCACACTTTGAAAATCATTGAGTTAGAGTACCACAAGGCAATATAGCTATTGTGGTTAAACAGTTGGCTGCAGGTGTTAGATGTCTTCAGAATGATGTTTTGTGTTGGTTTACAATAACCCTGTCCCATGATGTCTATGAGAAATGAAGAGTAACTCTTCATTTGGAAATTGTTTTGCTTGGATTTAAAATGGGTGAGATTGTTATGTTACTTAGGCTTACAAATTAATTTTTTAAAATCTAGTTCCAAAATGTTTATTGTCCTTCCTATTTTTCATTGGTCCTTCATACTTTTTAACTGATCATAAACCCTTGAACTATAGATTTCTTTCAATAGAAAGAAAAAATGTTTTACTACTAGATGGGGAGTAGGAGGCAATGAAGGAAGCCAAGAGGAAGGGGCATCTTGGGCACATGCATTCTTTTCAATCCTGTGGGCATTTTAGTACCTACTATTCCCTTTTTCTTCTTTTCCTGCTCCTCCCTTAAGTTTAAACATAATGAGTAGGAATTCTCAATTTGCAAACTTAAATATAAGACACTTTTTAAAACTCTTGGTTTTATTTGCATTTTCTTGCCTGGTGCCTCCCAGCCCTTTCCCCCTCCCCCCCTCCAGTTCTACCTAGACATGTACTGGTTAATTAGATTAACACCTATATTTACAACAGTCTTACGGTAATTATTTAATTAAGATATGTTTAGGGAATTTGGAATCATGTTTTTTTTTTTCTTTCCTAATGATTTAATCTTGTGTTACCATTCTCCCTGTTAACTAGGATCAGAAAGATTATGTTTGATTCATTCTTTTTTCATACTTAATATTAATCAGTTCCAAAACTTGGTTATTTTTTTCTAAGATACAGCCATTTTTATTTTCTGCACCGCTGTGTTCTGGTCCAGTTTCCTGTATGCTGAGATTACAGTGGTTTGGCCAGGCGCATTGATTCAAAATTCTCATTCTTCTAATATTCAGTTTATTTCTTTAAAATTACTTCTATTAGCATTTCTCTTTCATCTGCCTCAAATCCCTAATTTTTAGGGAGATCCTGGAACCTAATTCAACCCTATCTAAGCTATTTTCTACTGTTCTCCAACATAGAGGAGGGGAATTTTAATCTAATATGTGTAACTAGTGCCATGCAGGTACTGTGCTAGGTACTGTACATATATTATAGCTGTAAACCTTTAAAACTACCTTGCAAGGTTGATACTATATATATGTATGATGGAACTGAGATTCACAATTTATAGAACAAATTATCCACCTGTGTGATCTCCCAAAGTCTGTGTTTTTTCCACCTTTCTTGTATAGAATTCACCTTTTGTCAGGTATCTTTTTCCTTGGTATCCCATAGTAAAGGGTGTGGCAAAAGTAGGTTTACAGTTGTGAGTACGCAGAAGAGTTTATTCCCATTTTATTGTTTATTAATTATTATATTATTTTCCATACAAACTGCTATAAACCTTCTTTTGCCCCACCCTGTATCTCTGTCTTTAGTATTATACCTTTGTTCACATGGCTCTTTCCTCCAAAAATTCCTTTATTCCTTTTCTACCTGCTACATTTGGAATCAGATACTAGAAAGAGCCATATTTTTTCACTTTAATAGTTCCATTTAGCCCTGGCTGGTGTGGCTCCGTGGTTAGAGCGTCACTTGTGCACCAAAGGGTTGCAGGTTTGATTCCTGAATCTGGGGTATGTGCAACCAATCGATGTGTCTCACTCATATCTACGTTTCTCTTTCTCTCTCCCTCTCTCCCTCTCTCCCCCTCCCTTGCACTCTCTAAAAATCAGTAGAAAAAATATCCTCAGGCGAGGATAATAATAATAATAATAATAATAATAATATAAAAGTTCCATTCACTTTTTGTCATGCTATTTGAATTAGCTCTCACAACAGCTAAGTTCTGTGAGTTAATACGAAAAAGAATAATGACATCTTGCAAGTCTCCCTGCTTTCTAAGCTATTCCCCTGTTCACTAACTTATTTTTGAATTATCAGTCGTAATATGTGACATATTGGAAATAATCTTAAATGCCCTTTCCATAAGTGTAAAATGTCTTTAATATGGATTAAAAGCTTAGTGGTAAATTAAACTAGTTTTGTTCAGAATAAATTTAAGTAGTTTTGCTACTTTTCCTACATTGGGATGATAACTGTGCTTTAATTATAGTGAAATATTTTTATTAAGTTTGCTTTCAGTTTAGGTGGAGAAATACCAACTTTTGTGTGTGTAACACATGAATCCAGTTTTTTTGCGTATAACTATATTGTTTTTGAATATCTATTTATATAATTATCTAAAAGGTGAATATATTACTTTTTCCTGATTATTACTAATTTGGATTGATGAATTACTTGATTCTTTTCAGTTACTCCGTAGAAAAAAGTATATGAAATTTACTCTGGGCTTAGCCGGATTTTCTTGTGCTATTTACCCTTAATTCTAATTGTATTTTCTGTGAGTTAATTTTTTTGTGATAAACCTAATCATTTTTCCTCTTTTTGTTGTCTTAGTATAGAATTAGATGAGATGCTTTCAAAGGAAATATTGGTTAACATTTTTCCAGTTATCAAGGTATCAGTGTGAAACAGATCATACTCTTTTTAGGAGTTGGTTTCTATTTTAGTTTAGTTTTTTATTATTATTTAGCAACAGAAACAATTCTGGTTAACTTTGGCAAAAATAATTTGTCAAATGGATTCTGAGTGACTCACAGATTTGAATTAAGAACTAAACAACTAGGCGTTAAGAAAGATGGAAACTAAGCAATTCTGGGGTGCATAGGCACATGAACTAATAGAACTAGTACACTCACTTTTAGAGGGCTGTTATCAAATGAATGAATCCTACTTGCTTTGTGTTCTCAAAATTTAATTCCTAGGAGACCAAAAAAGAGTTGGATCCCTTGCTCCCACCCTGTTGTTGATAATGGTAGTTTGGATGTCTGTGTGGATATGGTGGTGGGTGGTATACAGATTTATGAGATTGGCTGTTCTGCTAAAATCATGACATTGAAATGAAGTATAGTTACTCAGAGGAATAAAGGAAGGGATTCTGGATAGAAAAAAACAAGAGGTTCATTATATTTATGCTTTTATTATCCAGGATGCATAGGTTGATAATTACATGCACACAAATTCAGGATGTTTACTTTTATCATATTGCAACTATACTATATTCAGCTGCAGATATACCTTATCCTCAGTGCTAGACTACCCAAAGTCCCATCCAGCTACTGTAGCAATTCTGTTTGGCAATTCGGAAAGTTAATTCTTGGAGAGTTATTTGGTTAGAGGGTGGTGGAAGCTAGATTGTAAGATGTTAAGGTGAGATTTTGTGGTGGGAAAGTGGAACCAAAAGATATAGATTACAGAAAATTATTTTAGTTACAGCATTAGGTGACTTTAAAGGTAGGGCAATCATATAAAAGGAATAAAAGGTAGCAGTAAAAGGATGCACTATAATCACTCCATAACCTCAGGCATGTGACAGGGCATTTGGTCACCTTGTTTAAAGGTTCTGTACCTGAGGGATTAGTTTGTGTTAAGGAAATGGTATGTTTTATAATGCTCATTATTTTTTAGTATTCTTATAATTTTGAATAATAATCACTATTATATTTTTGGTGTCCTAAACTGAATATTGCCTTTGACATCCATGACAGTGTCAAATTCTTCATAAGATTGTGTGTTTTTTTATCCTGAGGATATGTTAATTGATTTTAGAGAGAGAGGAAGAGAGAGAGAGAAAGATCATCGATATGAGAGAAGAACATCGATTGGTTGCCTCTTGTATTTGCGTTGGCCAGGGATCGAACCCACAACCTACAACCTAGGTACGTGCCCTGACTGGGAATCGAACCTGCAACTTTTTTGTTGGTGTATGGGACAAGGCTTTAACCAACTGAGCCACTCAGCCACAGTGTAAGATTTTTGTTTTTATTAAAGTGAAAGAATTATGTGATATACAATGAATTGTTGACAATGAAAGGGGAAATGGAAATCTCAAAATTGGAAGTTTTTGCTTTGGTATCTTCTATAAAATGCCTTACTTTGGCATGGATAGATAACTTTGGAGAACCCAGATTGTTTTTTAATGTATTTTTTTCTTTTCCTGTATATATTGTTATGATTATTTTGCTAGTGTGGTATAATGCTATCATTTATTTCTTGTGAAACATTTTTTTTTTAGCTGACATCTGAAATGTTTGAAGCAGATCTTGAGAAGGCATTGTTGCTAAGTAAATTAGAATATGAAGAACACAAAAAGGTATTTACACATTTATTCATTTAGCTATATTAGGTTTAAGTGGTTCAAAGTTAGGACCAATCTTCCTGAATTTTGTATTAAAGTTCTCTTTAAAGTTTGTTGTAACAAAATATTATCATTCAGTTTTAATTTAATTTTTTAATTTTTAAAAAATAAATGACATAAAACCTTTTTTAAAAAAAATTGATTTTAGAAAGGGGAAGGGAGAGAGAGAGGCATCGATGGAAGAAACATTGATCGGTTGCCTCTCTTACACACCCAGCCGGGGATCGAATCCCCATCCTGGGTATGTGCCCTGACTGGGAATCAAAACCACCACCTTTTGATGGACAGGACTACGCTCCAACCAACTGAGCCACACTGGCCGGGTTACACGCAGTTTTTATAATGAGATTCTTTCTCAGGTTTTGAGAGACCACAGAAACATGTGGACTAAACTTTGATGATTTGGAATGTTCATTTTAAAAAGTTCCAACATGAAGGGAAGAGAGGAAATTAAATGAACAGCAAATGATTTATTTTAACTTATTTAAATGAACATAGAAAATTAGATTAAAAAATGTAAGGTAGGTATGAGTACAGGGGCATCCATTAAGAGACCCTCTGCTGAAGATACACTGCAATTAACTAAAGTAAATAGGAGGCCATTTCTGTTAATTTGGCCTTGTGAACTCAGCATTTGTCACTAAGCTGTGATGTTGGGTCGAGTACTGAAATGCGTTCTACAGCTTACAACTGTAGGAACATTTAAGTAAAAAAGTAGTGATGGTTTCTGGTTTCTATTTAAATTGAGCATTTTTATTATCTTCATGTTATTTAACTTTAGTTCTTCACATGTATTGGGATTTTTTTGATCTATAACATTTATTCAACTTGTGATTACTCAGTAGTTGATCATCAATGACCTTTGGTCATGCTTAAGGGCCTTTAGACTATGTCATTGTATGCTAGCTTCTTCATTCAAGATGAAGGGATGAGAATAATTAAAATTCACAGTAGATGATTTTGCAGTGTATTCATAGCTAAAGGGAAGAGGAAGAAAGCCAATGAAGTGGACTTTGGGACCCTATATGTGTTAGTTTCTTTTTCCATATCTCTCTATTGTTATCCTGAAAAATCAAGAGTAACTGTAATCCTGTTGTTACTTGTCCATTTAGACATAAACCTGGCAATTACAAAAATGGATAGAGATAGCTTCACTATGACTTAAGTCATTTAATGGACTTTCAGGTTACACTGGAAAAGTCCTCCTGACTTGTTCAATTTGAAGAGAAAATTTATCAAATTGAAATTATTATAAAGTAATGTGTTAGATATATGTCCAGATTCTAAAGCTAAAATGATTAGCTGTATCTTTAGAGGAGTAGAGTAGATGATATTGATAAAATATCTTGTTTCCAGTCAGTTTTCTTGGCACATAGGCTAGTACCCGAGAGCTTTGGTTTTATCAGACAATAATGACTCTCAGAGAATGGAGGAATTCCTTTTGTGCATGATGGCTAATTTGATGTGATTACATTGATGTAGTCATTGAGGTTTGTTTGTTGTTGTTTTTTAAATATATATTGATTTCAGAGAGAGGAGGGCGGGGAGAGAGAGAGATAGAAACATCAATGATGAGAGAGTCATCATTGATCGGCTGCCTACTGCACACCCCCAACTGAGGATCGAGCCTGCAACCCAGGCATGTGCCCTGACCGGGAATTGAACCTCGATCTCCAGGATCCTAGGTTGATGCTCAACCACTGAGCCACACCCGGCTGGGCAGCTGTTGAGTTTTAAGTCAGGTTATTTCAATTTAAAAACGATAGCTTAAGGATTTTTATAATAACTAAGGTTTGGGGTGGCATTTTTTATTCTGTTCTATCACTTACCAAACATTTTTTTGAATAGCCAAAATGTGCTAGGCACATAATACAAAGATGAAGACATAGTCTTATCCTTTGGGTTTAGTGGAGGAAGACATACATATATTTATGGTGTATAGTATTGGGAAATGTATGTTCTCAGTACAGTGGGAATTCAGAAAGCTACAAGAATTTTCTGTGCCTTTGATGGGGATGGACTTTAGGAAAGGATTCTTAAAAGAGGGTCTTACTAAATGTATTAGAAATTCACAGGTAGGTTAAGAGGAAGGTCAGCATTCTCAGGGGAGGAGTGGCAAGCATATAAGATATGTACGTATGAAAGAGTGTAGAATATTTGAAAAACTAATTTTGGGACCTGGAGTTGCTAGAGATACTGTCAGAAGAATAAGGTATAAAGAACCTTGGTACCAGACTAAGGAGATTAGGTTTTATGCATGTGCAGAGAGCTATTGAATATTTTAAACTTTTAGATTGATTCTGGGGTTTTTATTTTAGAAAATCATACTGTAGCAGTGTAGAAGATGGATTGAAGGGATAAAATTAGAGGGTGTTACAGTGTCAAGCAGAAGAAGATGGGGAAATATTACAGGGTATGAAGAAAAGAGATTTAAGAGAGGTTTAGGAGATAAACTCAACAAGATGTACTTACTAATTTGGATATAAAGTGTGTAGAAAGAGTAGGCAAGGATGACTCTGAGGTTTCTTGCCTAGACAGTTGTGTAGATGATGGTGTCATTAAACAGAGTACTTAGAGGATCAGTCCTTACTAGAGAATTGGAGATGCTTAATGAACATCCCAGTTGAGTTGTCTATACATACAGAAATTATCATAACTTTGAGTTTGAAGAACAGTGCGTATAAAGCATAAGAATGGGTTAGAATGGAATAATAGTGAATAGCAGCTACATTTTTAAGAGCAGAGTTTGGAAAAGAGAAGCCAGTGAGAGGAGACTCAAGAGTAGTCAGAAATGTACTGAGAAAACCAAGAAATGCTTGAAAAATAATGTCCTTTGGGTTTGGTATTTAAAAGGAAGTTGACCTTAATTTTAGTGTCAAAGAACAGCAAAAGCGAAATTTCAAGGGTTGGGTGGTGGGAGAAGTGAGAAAGCAAACTGACGGTGGATTATTGTTTTAAGTTTGGTCCAGAAGTGAAGAAGAGGGTGGCAAGTAGGAGGGGTTAATAGACCAAGGTGTAGCTTTTTGTTTTTATTTCAATGCTTAAGATGCAAAAGATTGAGTATATAAATCAACAGGTATCTTTTTATACAAGTTGGCTAGCCTAAGTTTTTATGTTTTATTTGTCTTTTATCTTTAAAAAGAAAACTTTAATAAACATATTACCTGTTGATGAGTTAATTTTACTAGTGTAAACTAAGCTTAATGGTTGCCAATAATTCTTTTCAGGAGTTTGAAAATAACGAAAATGCTTCAACTCAGTCAAAGGTTATGAATAAAAAAGATAAAAGAAAGAATCATCAGGGAAAAGACAAACCTCTCACAGTATCACTAAAAGATTTTCATTCTGAAGGTAATATATATATAAAATCTATATGTAGAGTAACTGTTCTAAATCTTTGTATCCTTGAGTTGTAAGTACCTTTCTAATTTTTAAAATAAGTAAAAGTTGTTTTGTTAATCTGTTACTTAGAATGTAGAATGTAAACCTCTTTGGAAATAAACCATTTAGGGGTTAAAATAATTTAAAATCAATCACTAAAATGCCATAAAACTAGAATTTATTATTTTGTATTTCTGAACTTGTCCCTTTTCTAAAACTTACTGAAAATAAAAATTGACATTCGTAGTTTTTAAATCATCATGAAACATATTATTGTCCTTATATATAAAGTGATTTGGCTTAAACTAGATCAGGAATAGTATCTTCAAGTTTCATACATTATTGGTCAACCTCCTCAAATTATCTGGAACTACATCTTATAAAATTAAAATACAAAGTTTTAGAATGAGACTTATTACCGGAAAACTCTTTATAATATCATTTTGTAATTTTTTTTATCAAAAAGTGAAAACAGAAGAAAATTATACCATCCACTAAATTAAAAAAAAAAAGTCTTTATTGATTTCAGAGAGAGGAAGCAGGGGGGAGAGAGAGAGAGAGAAATATCAATGATGAGAGAGTAGTTGATCAGCTGCCTCCTCCTGCACATCCCCTACTGGGGATTGAGCCCACAACCCGGGCATGTGCTCTGACTGGGAGTTGAACCTTGATCTTCTGGATCATAGGTCGATGCTCAACTGCTGAGCTATGCCAGCTGGGCTTTCCACTAAATTTTTGAAGACAGACCACAAAGCACTTTATTTTGATGTTGGAAATGGTGAATCTTCGATCTGTACTGTATTACATAGTAGCCACTATTCATGTGTGGCAACTTAAATATAAATTAGTTAAAATGAACTAAAATAAAAAATTCCTTAGTTGCATTAGCCACATTTCAAATTCTCAGTAGCCCATGTGACTAGTAGCTTCCATATCAGACAGCAGTCAGAAAGTTTTTTGAACAGCACTGTGCTTATACCAAACAGAATAGTTGCTAACCAAGTGGACAGCTGTTTGTTCATTGAGCAGCATATTTGATTCATTAGAATTTAGCTTTAATACATTGGTTATTTGTTCCGTGAGGATTAGCAATACCATAGCAGTAATAAAAAACCAAAACCAAAATATACCACGCTACTGTGCTATTTTCAGAAATAAGCCTATCTGTGAAAGTAGAAATAAATTTAGAGGATTATATTGCTTTCCTTTAAGGAACAGGAAAGTTCCTTTGTTTTGGGGTTAAAAGAACCTGTATGTTAAAATAAAATTTCCAGTTTTAGTAAGAAAGATTTTGTATAAAAAATAGTTCCTTAAAAACTAAGCAGAAACATGGAAAGAATGTTTTTTAAAACTCCTTAATTTATTTTCCATATGTTTGATTTATTAAGTGTTATATAATTTTATTAGATGGATTGAGAAAGACATCAGTATGATACTGTTAAAGGGGAAACTTTACAACTATTATAAGACACAATTAACACACTCTTCCTCAGGTTCTGGCATCACATTGTGTGCTAAGTAGAACATGCTAGTAGAATGTGTAACCTACCAGAATTTGGTAGTTAGATCTGAAACTTGTGATTTTGACATTTACTATTTTTATGGGCTCTATTTGATTAACTAATGCTTTAGAGAACTGGTTCAGCTTTTACATTCTCAGTTATAGGAAAGCTATTCTATTCAGTTATATTAGTCCTTGAGAATGGAGAATTTCTGCTGTCCACAAGAAACCTTATTAAGTTAGATATTCTGATTATTTTCAATGTAAATAAGAACACTTTTTCCCTATTTGTACTTTAGTTTCAGCCTTCTGTCTGTGTGGATTCCCTTATGTCTGCCTTTTCCTCATTCTGTAATCCTTTTTCACAAATGCTATGTTGTTATTAAGTCCATTTGTTTAATATAGATATATTTGTTTTGCCTTTTTTGTATTCATTCTATACATATACATTAATTTTTAGAATTTTTACAGTATATCACTCTGATGTGTTTCTTAAAATAAAAAAAATAGCTAATAGTTTTAAAGGACACAAATTACTATTCAACTTTTTATCTTATTCCACAAAGGCAGTAATCTGTATAGTTTTTGCAGTCACAGTATCCTGTGATTTGATTTTAGACATATTTGTACCCCTTCAAGTTCTCTCCTTTCAAAAGTACTATGTGAAATGAAAAACTTAAATGATGTGGAATTCAAATGTTTAAAGTTTAATAATATCCTTGTTATGGGTAGCATTTACTGAGATATAAGACCTAGTCCCTAAGCTGAACAAATTAATAGTTATATACTGAATTTTAACATCTTATCCTTAGAAAAGTAAATCTGATGAATCGAAGGCAACTCCCAAACGACTTCCGAAACTCATCGTTTTGAAATTCTTTTCAGTTACTTTGTTTAAATATTTTCTTACATATTAAAATATTTTTATATGTTAATTTCCTTCAATGAAATGTCACTTTTTTTTTTTTTTTTTTTTAAAAGATCACATTAGTAAAAAGACAGAGGTAAGTGTTTTAACCATCTTTATTTTAGAAAATGCTTGATGATTTTAAGAATAATACTTCAGTGTTTAGCAGTAAGTCTTTTTTGAGTCGTAGCCATTTAAGAAACAACCCATAGGTTTTTCATGATGTAAACTTAATTATGTTTCTGGCAATTATAAGGATATAAAATTATTGTGGTAAAGTAAATATGTGATTATTTGTATGAAATATATCATTTGGCTTTAGCATCCTAATTTGTGTGTGCCTATGAGCCAAAAGATTACATGTAAGTTAAAATTTTAGAGAAACAGTCTGTATTTTAATCTTTATTAAAAACATCCTGAAACACCATGTCTCTAGATATTTTGGAATTAAAGAAATTGTGAGGTGTAAACTGTAATTATATAGTTTATATCCATAAATAAGCTTAACCTGATCATATACTTTTCTTACCATTCACCATTAGAGGGTAGTGTAGCTATACTTTTTTTTTTTTTTTAAGACTCCATAAAGCCTCTACAAACCCTTTAGAATTGGGAAATAAGACTACTATAAAGTATGTTTTAATATTGAGGGTGGTACTAAAATTGTTGAGTTCTTTTGACTTCTTTAGGTAATAATTTGAAAGTTTTTTTCTTATATTATGTATGTATCTTGTCAATAATTACATTAATTGATTTTTTTCAAATGGCCAGATACATATCCCTTAGTTTCACTTCAGAATATTTATATGGTTTTTGATATTTTTTTGTGGTTTCATGCATTTGCTTGACAAGTCAGGGAAATTAAATTCATGTATATGAAAATAACATCTAAATAATTCTGTGACTATATTAATAATACAGTCTTAATTCACAACAAACACAGAATTGATTTATTGGTAAGACAGATTCTGGAAATTCTTTTGAAGTTATTTACAAACCACTGTCACCATTTCTTAAATAAAATTAAATGACCACAAATATAGACTTTAATTTTATGTTTGAAAGTGAAAACATATACTTTTGGATTGATTCCAGTTTTTAATCCATTGATTTAAATGATTGTTAGCTTTATGTGAATGAGCAATCAGATACAAATGGTACAGCTTATTCTTAAGAAACTGCCCCCAACTGTTAGTGGAGGGAAAAATAATTTATTTATAAACTGTTCCATGCTTGCTTTTTCTTCTTTCCTGATTTGAAAGAAAAAAAAAAAAGGCAGATTGACCAGGATCTCATCTGTTTAATATATGTACTTAATCTGAGTTGTATTTATAAGCACAGGTTTGTGACATAGCATATATTTTGTCTTTAATTATAATTTTATTTTCTTATATTTTTGAGAATGAGAAAAACTTTTATTTTTTTAAAAAGTATGTCTTTATTGGTTTCAGAGAGAGGAAAGGAGAGGGAGAGAGAGAGATAGAAACATTAATGATGAGAGAGTCATTGATTGGCTGCCTCCTGCATACCCCTGACTGGGGATCGAGCCCACAACCCGGGCATGTACCCTGACCAGGAATTGAACCACGATCGCCTGGATCCTAGGTTGACTCTCAACCGCTGAGCCATCCCTGGCCAGGCAAAAAGTTTTATTTTAAACTCAGCAAGTCCTAGCACCTTCACGTTGAGCAGTTCTTCCTTTTGCTTTTCTCCTCTTTTTTAAAAATTAAATTTATTGAGGTGACATTGGTTAATAGTTTCATATAGGTTTCAAGTGTACATTTCTATGATATGTGATCTGTATATTTCATTGTGTACCCACCACCCAAATTCAGACCACCTTCTGTCACCATATATTGGGCCCCCTTAATCTCCCTACCGCCATCTCCTTCTCTCTGGTAACCACCATACTGTTCATGAGTTTCAGTTTTCTATCTCACATATGAGTGAAATCATATGGTCTTTAGCTTTTTCTAACTGACTTATTTCACTTACCATAAAATTCTCAAGGTCCATCCATGTTGTCGCAAATGGCAATATTTCATCTTTTCTTATGGCTGAGTAGTGTTTTATTATATGTATGTACCACATCTTCTTTATCCAATCCTCTGTTGAAGGATATTTTGGTTCTCTCCATGTCTTGGCCACCATGAATAATGCTACAATGAACATAGGAGTGTATATATCTTTATGAAAATTTTTTTTCAAGTTTTTCAGGTAGATACCCAGAAGAGGGATTGCTGGGTCATATGGTAACTCTATTCTTAATTTTTTGAGGAACCACCAGACTGTTTTCTATAGTGGCTGTACCAGTCAGTCTACATTCCTACCAGAAGTGAATAAGGGTTCTCTTTTCTCCACAGCCTCCCAAACACTCGCTATTACTTGTCTTGTTGATAATACTCATTCTAACAGGTGTGAGGTGGTATCTCATTGTAGTTTTGATTTGCATTTTCCTAATAGCTATTGAAGTTGAACATCTTTTCATATATCTGTTGATTGTATGTCTTGTTGGGAGAGGTGTCTGTTCAGGTCCTCCGCCCATTTAAAAAAAATTATTTTGTTGACAATATTACAGATGTCCCCCATTTCCCCTGCCTTTGCCTCCCTCCACCCAGCCCCCATTCAACCCCAGGCCTTCACCGGCACTATTGTCTGTGTCCATGGGTTATGTATATATGCATATAATTTCTCTGATTAATCTCTTCCCGACACCTCCCACCCCCACGCCCCTTACCTCTGAGATCTGTCAGTCTGTTCCACGCATCCATATCTCTGGACCTATTTTGTTCATCAGTTTATTTTGTTCATTAGATTCCAAATATAAGTGAGATCGTATGGTATTTTTTTTATTTATGCCTTTGTTTCTCGTTCTGTTTCAACCTCTTATTGCAGCAGTCCCTTTAATATTTCTTGCAATGCTGGTTTGGTGGTGATAAATTCCCTTAGCCTTTTTTTTGTCTGGGTAGCTCTTTATTTCACCATCTGTTTTGAATGATAGCCTTGCTGGATAGAGTATTCTTGGTTTCAGATCCTTGTTTGGCATTGCTTTGAATACTTAACGCCATTCCCTTCTGGCCTGTAGAGTTTCTGCTGAGAAATCATCTGACAGCCTTATGGGAGCTCCTTTGTAGGTAACGGATTGCTTTTCTCTAGGTGTCTGTAAGACTCTTTCTTTGTCTTGAATTTCTGGCATTTTAATTATGATGTGTCTGGGTGTGGGCCTCTTTGGGTTCTTCTTGCTTGGGACTCTCTGTGCCTCCTGAACTTGTTTGACTTTTTCCTTCACCAGATTAGGGAAGTTTTCTGCCATTATTTCTTTAACAGGTTCTCTAACCCTTGCTTACTTTCGACCTCTTCTGGCTACTCCTATGATGCGAATATTGTTACATTTCATGTTGTCCCACAGCTCCCTTAAACTGTCTTCTTGTTTTTCAGTTGTTTTTTCTTTTTGGTTCTCTGATTGAGTGATTTTTTCCTACCCTGTCTTCTCATTCACTGATCTGATCCTCAGCTTCCTCTAATTTGCTGTTTATTCCTTCCAATTTTTTTTTATTTCTATGTCATTCTTAATTTCTTTTCTCATGCTGTTGAGCATCCCTTATGATCAGCATTCTGAACTCTGTATCTGATAGGTTGCTTATCTTCATTCCATTTATCTCTTCTTCTGGAGAATTCTTTTGTTCTTTTATTTGGGGTTTGTTTTTTTGTCTCCCCATTTTGTTTGCCTGTTTGGATTTGTTTGTATGTATTAGGTAGATCTGCTAGGACGCCCACCAGTCTTTTGGATGGTCTCTGGTGCAGGCCAACGTCAGATGCTGTTTGTGATGGCCTTGATTACCCTGTTTGAAGTTTTGTGTACCCCACAGCATGTGTTCCCCTCTGCTGGGTCTGGGTGTGTTTAGACAGGACAAGATGCTTACCAAGGTCTGCTTTTCCAAGCCCTGCGTCCAGAAGCAAATCAGGCAAAGACTCAAAGCACCCAAAGGCTGTTATTCAGTCTCTTAATGAGCCTCAGACTGTGGAAACTCCACAGGGAGGGGCTGCTGATTGTTAACAGTCTCTTAAGGAGCCTCAAGGCTGCAGAAACTCCAAAGGGTGAGGCACTTGCTTCCCCGCAGGCAAAAGCTGCTTGGAAGGTAAATGTCTGCCTGAGAAAGATGTCCTCTGCAGTTTGGGGGAATGACTCAGCACAGGGATCAGATGGCTCCCCTCTGAGCTCTATTACCCCTGCCAGCACCCTGGATTCTCTTCACACAGCTTTAGTCTACTCTGCCCTCTCTCTACTGGAGCCCAAGGTAGGTGGCTGCACACGAAACTTTGTGAGTTGACTCTTTAAGAGGAAAGGGTGCCTGCATTTCCAGCCATCTCTCCCTGGCAGACAGAAATTCTGCTGCTTTTCACAGCCATATGTTACGTGGGCACCTTTCTCAAGTCTGGTGCTCTAGGTGGGGAAGCCCAACTTGGGGTTTAGGCCCCAGAGTTCTCAGTGGGAACCCCCACAGCTGAGATATCCCTCCAGACCTTTAGCTGCTGCCTGTGGGAGCCCAACCAGCCCTCTCATACCTCCGTACTTCCTACTAGTCTCTGTGCAGTCTCCACTTTTCCTCCTGGCTTATAAGGGTGCTCTCCAGCTAGTCTTCAGTTGCGGTTGATTATTCAGGATGGTTTTTCTATATTTTAGTTGTAATTCCAGCTTCGTCCTGGGAGAGTGTCAATGTAGCTTCCACTCAATCCACTACCATCTTGGAATCTCCTAAGCATGCTGCCTTAAAATGAAATCTTATTGGAGTGTACCGGAATTATTTTTTGAAACAGTAGACCTACAGTTATATCTATACCACTTAGCAATAGAATGATTCATGGGGAATCATTAAATAAATGATTCATTTATTTAACTTTCCTGAGCCATGATTACTGTGGGAAAATAATTCTTGTTCTTTCAACCTCTTATAATGTTGATGAGATTCAAATAAAGTGATGTTTGTGTAAGTTCTTTGCAAAATATAAAGTGCTGTACAAAATTTTTAATGTTATTTGTATATTAAGCACTGATACATAATTTTTTTCCCTCTGAAACACTTTCTAATATAATGTGAAGGGAAAAGGATGAACAGTCATTGAACTGTTGGGTTATCTGCTCACAAATTCAATTAAGATGGATAAAATTAGGAGTATTAAAGGTCAAGAATCTAGGACATAGGTGGAACCATTGAGAGTGAGAGGAACATTTTCTTTAGTCTCTTGACTCTAAAACAGGAAGGTGGAGAGGCAGTGATACTTTTCTTGGAGAATATGTAAATTTTGTAATTTTAAGTAATTGAGTAGATTGTGATAAAATTTTATCTCTTTATCACTGATGTATATAATTTATGTAACATTATTTTTAAATGTATTGTAAAAGATTGAACATTACGAAGCTAAAGTAATCAAGCCAGTGTTGAATGGAGTAATGGTAGCCATAAAAGTTGACAGAATTAAGACCCCAGAAGAGAAACCCTAACATTTATGTTCAGTTGATTTTGAATAAGGGTGCCAAAAGAATTCAGTGGAGAAAAAATAATCTTCTGAACCAGTGATGCTAGATATCCACATGAAAAAGAATGAATTTATTGGGGTAGTGAACACACAATACAGTGCTGTAGAATTGTGCACGTGAAAGCTGTATAATTTTATTAATCAGTGTTACCCAGTAAATTTGATAAAAGAGAAAAAAAAAAGAATGAATTTGGACACCTTCTTCACACCATGCACAAAAAAGAACTGAAAACGGATTACAGATCTAAATGTAAAAGCTAAAACTAAAACTCTAGAAGAAAATATAAGAGTAAATCTTTGTGACCTTCAGTTGTACAGTGGTTTCTTGTATAAATCGGACTTTGTCAAAATTTAAAACTTTGTGATACAAAGGACACCTTCAAGAATGTGAAAAGAGAACCCACAGAATGGGAGAAAATATTTGGTAACCATATATTTGATAACAGACTTGTATCTAGAATATATAAAGAACTCTTATAACGCAAAAATAAAAGTAACCCAATTAAAAAGTGGGCAAAGGATCTGAGTAGACATATTTCCAAAAAGATATGCAAATATCCAATAAGCACATGAAATGATACATCAGAGAAATGCAACTCAAAATCACAATGAAATACCTCTCCACACCTACTCTAGTGGCCAAGTAATTCAGTTGATTAGAGCATCATCCTAATATGCCAAGGTTGCAGATGTGATCCCTGGTCAGGGCACATACAAGAATCAACCAATGAATGCATAAATAAGTGGAACAACAAATTGATGTTTCTCTCCCTTCCTCTCTAAAATCAAGAAAAAAAAAAATTAGCCCAAACCGGGTGGTTCATTTGGTTGGAGTATTGTCCTGTATACCAAAGGTTACGGGCTCAATTCCCCTGTCAGGGCACATTCCTAGGTTGAGGGTTTGATCCCTGGTCAGACCATGTACAGGAGGCAACTAATTGATGCTTCTCTCTCACATCCATGTTTCTCTCTCTCCCCCTCCCTTTCTCTCTAAAAATTAATAAAAATCCATATCCTCAGGTGAGGATTGAAAAAAAGACAGATAACAAGTGTTGGTGAGACTATGTAGAAATTAGAATTCTCATACACTGTGTGTGGGATTGTAAAATAGTCTGGCTGCTTTGAAAAACTATGTGGCAAATCCTAAAAAGATTAAACATAGAGTTACCATATGTCTCAGCAATTCTACTTTAAGGCATATACCTAAGAGAATTGAAAACATGTCCGTACAAAAACTTGTGCTTGAATATTAACAGCATTATTCATAATAGCAAAAAACGAAAACAACCCAAATTTTCATCAGCCAGTGAATGGAGAAATAAAATGTGGTGTATCCATCAATGGAATATTGTTTGGCAATAGGAATGAAATAGTGATACATGCTATAATAATAGATGAACCTTGAAAACATTTTGCTAAGTGAAAGAAGCCAATCACAAAAGACCACATATTATATGATTTTATTTATATCAGATGTCTAGAATAGACAAATCTATACAGACAGAAAGTAGTATACTGAGGGGGAGGTATTAGGAGAAAATGGGGAACGACTGCTAAGAGATTCAGGGTTTCTTTTTGTGGTGATGAAACTTATAAAATTAATTGTGGGTATGGCTGCACAACTCTGTGAGCATATTTAAAACCATTGAATTGTGCATATTAAATGGGTGAATTGTATGGTATATGGCTAAAAAATTTTTTTTTTAGTCAAGCAATACCCAACTCAATATGAAGAAGAAAACATTTCAAAATGTGTCTCTACTATTTATCTTCTGGAGAGAGAGGAGAATTAGATGGTTGATTGTCTCTTAGTTAACCTTTTTCTTTCATTCTCCTTCTAGTGGCTGACTAGGCTTATTAAATGCATACACTTTTGTGTTGAATGATAGTAAATCACAATTCATTTTTAACAGGAATTGAGTTCTTCTCAAACTTTATCACATGATGGAGGATTCTTCAATAGACTGGAAGATGATGTTCATAAAATTCTTATTAGAGAAAAAAGAAGAGAACAGCTTACAGAATATAATGGAACAGATAATTGCGCAGCTCATGAACACAACCAGGCATGTAAAATAGAAAATTCTCTTAAAATCACAGTAAAACTAAAATATAATTTTTCCTTTTAAAAAAACATAAGCAGTGGAATCGATTATGATTCTATTAAGGCATAGCTTTAGGATTTGTCTTTAGTTGCAGATGTTTATATTAAAAAGTGTGAAATACTTCATTGATGAATATTTTTTGAGCATGTGCTAGATGCTAGGTATTATTAGGCTCCAGTGGAGGGGAGTAAGAATACCAAGATGGGTAAGACTGTCCTTTCCTTAGACACTCAGGGTAGTGGGGATTGGAGGAGGTAGACCTGTAAAAAGAATATTCAGCACGGTGAAGGCTTTAAGAGAGAGATGAACAATAAAGAGGTTTTGAATAGAAAAGATAACATCACTCAGGTAAATTGTGAAAGGTACATAAAGAAGTGACATTTGGGATGGACTTTGAATGATGAATAAGTAACTGTATAAGCTGAGAACTGGAGAAAGCCTAAGGGAATTGTAAGAACAAAATCCCAGAATTACGAAAGGCCATAGACTGAATATTCAGGAAACTGAAAAATTCTGCATCTAAGAAGTAGAATTAAGTGAGTGTGGGACAGTAAGGCTAGAGAAAGAGATTGCATTTAGATTATAAAGGTATTTTTATGTGAAAATAAGTTAGAATTTTATCCTGTAGACCAGGGATTGCAGACTATGGCCCACAAGTCAAGTCTGGTTAGCAGTCTGTTTTTATAAGGCCCACAAGCTAAGAATGGTATTCACATTTTAATTTTTTTCCTTTTTATTGAATTTATTGGGGTTACACTTTTTAACAAAATTATACAAGTTTCAGGTGCACAATTTCACAAAACATCTACATTGTATTGTGCATTCACCACCCCAAATGAAGTCTCTGTCCATCACCATTTATCCCCCCATACCCTCCTCCACCTCCCCTCAACCCTCCTCTCCTGGCAGTCACTACACTGTTGTGTCTATGAATTTTTTCTTTTCTGCTCAATCCTTCCACCCCCCACCCAGTCCCCTAACCATCCCCCACAGCTGTCAGCCTGCTCTCTCTCTATGAGTCTCTGTTTTGCTTGTCATTCACGAATTCCTACAGTGACTATTCCAAATTCCAAAAGCCTGCTTCCCACCTTGTCATTCTCTTCAATGGATGTTATCTCTTTGTTTCCTAAGACTGATAAATTGAATTGTTCAACAAATTAAACACCTATTATATTGTTTTATAGGACCCAAGAAGTCAGACCCTTAAGAACTGTTTACTCCAATGCAGCAATAAGATTAATTAATAAATAACACTAACATAATTCCACATGAAAATCTATTTAAAAAAAAAAAATCTTTATTGATTTGAGAGAGAGGAAGGGAGAGGGAGAGAGAGAGATAGAAACATCAATGATGAGAGAGTCATTGACCGGCTGCCTCCTGCATACCCCTGATTGGGGATCGAGCCCGCAACCCGGGCATGTGCCCTGACTGGGAATCAAACCTTGATCTCCTGGATCCTAGGTCAGTGCTCAACTGCTGAGCCATGCTCGGCCAGGCTAAAAATCTATTTTCAACTCATTAGTGGGTAATCCTTGCCTGCCCTGAGGTATTTGTGAGTTTCTTCTTTCCTGGCACTGATTTAATGTTTTCCTGTCTTGCCTTGGCTGTCAAAGTTTATGTACAGTCCAAGCAACCATGCTAACATTTATGGTTAGCACATTTGCTTTCTTCTTTTTTATTGACTATGGTTTTCCCCTTTTTGGTCCATATCTTTTTATTTTTTAAGCCATTTCAGATAATTTTTGGATAGAAAGAATGACATTAATATATTTAAACAAATAGGCATCTTAAACTCTTTGTAGAACAAACCTGGGTATATATGCTTAGTTAAATGATTAAATAATATTAATGGTTTAATAAAACCATAGGACAGTGCAGGATGGTAGAAAGGGAAGTCTTTGAAATTAAATCTAGTAACAGGATATAGCTTCTGCAGCTGCTACATTGGATGAAATTATCTGTCTTTCATGTACTGTTAGGAAAATTAGCAATTATGATTTTAAAGGTTTAGCAGAGTATGTTGTACACAGTACACATTCAATAGATAATTATTTTTGTACAAGGTAGAAAGTGGTAAGTCCAAAGAAAGGATATACTGATAAAGTATGATAGTAATTCACATGAATGGAGATTGGAGATGGCTTTCTTAGAAGAAAATAGCTTTTGAATTAGGCAGTAGAATTTGAACATGCAGAGGGGGAGGGAGAAGAAACTGGGATGCCGTGAGTAATAGTATTGAGACAGTGAAGTATAAACCAGTTTAATTAAAATAGAAGGATCATACAGGAGAATAATATCATTAAATTTGTTGTGATAATTGGTTAATAAAATTATATAGGTTTTAAGTGCACATTTCTGTGATACATGATCTGTATATTGCATTATCTGTGCCCATCACACAAAGTCAAATCTTCTGTTACCATATATTTGACCCCTTTTACCCTTTACTACCTCCCCTACCTCTGGTAACCACTATACTGTTGTCTGCGCCTATGAGATTTTGTTTTTCTTGTATGTTCATTTGTTGCTTTCAGTTTTACATCCCACATACAGTGAAATTATATGGTTCTTGGCTTTTTCTGTCTGACTTATTTCACTTAGCATGATATTCTCAAGACCCATCCACGTTGCTGTAAATGGCAGTATTTTATTTCTTATGGCTGAGGTGTTCCATTGTATGTAGGTACCACATCTTCTTTATCCAATCATCTGTCGAAGGACACTTTAGTTGTTTCCATGTCTTGGCCACTGGGAATAATGCTGCAGTGAACATAGGGGTGCATATATCTTTGCAAATAAATATTTTCATATCTTTTGGGTAGTTACCTTGAAGAGAGGTTCCTGGGTCATATGGTAACTCTATTCTTAATTTTTTGAGGACTGTCCATACTGTTTTCAGTGTTCAGATTCCTGATCTGTATATTGTATTATATATATTTTTTACCTTACTTGTATCATTCATATATATTTCTTTTGCATATATGAAATATTTCATAATTTAAAAAATTGATTTTCTCATATTATGTCATTGAGTGTAATGGGAAAAATGATTGAGGCCATTTAAAAAAATACTCTTTTTTTTTTTTTTTTTATCTCATCTCCTTCCTCTCCCCATTGTACTCCTTTCTCAGTGAAAGAAAGCTCTTTTTGCCAAGGTTAAAATCCTTTTTTACTATACAGTAATTAACATGCCAGGAATTTTTAAAGGTGAAAAAAATAATTCAATCCTAATTTGGCCATTCTTAACATTTGGTTTCACTTTTGAATACTCCTTTTCTAGGACAATGCCACATATATAGGTATTTAAAAATAATTGTAACAGTAAGTACTATAGTTTCATAGCCCTTTTGTAAAGCATGCATTATATTCTGTCAAATCAACATGCTGTAATTTGCTTGGTCAATATCCTCTTACTGAACACTAAGGTTGTTTAGAGTTGGTTACCTGATATTCATTGAATATCTTTATGTATTTAATTCTTTGATGAGTTATTTCCTTGGAATAAATTCTTTTTTAAATTTATTTTAAATATATCCTTATTGATTTCAGAGAGAGGAAAGGAGAGGGATAGAGAGATAGAAACATCAATGATGAGAGAGTCAATGATAGGCTGCCTCCTGCACACCCCTGACTGGGGATCGGGCCTGCAACCTGGGCATGTGCTCTGACTGGGAATCGAACCCCAATCCCCTGGATCCTAGGTCGACACTCAACCGCTGAGCCACGCCCGGCCGGGCAGGAATATATTCTTAAAAATAGTAAATGAGTCAAAAGATATAAACATCTGTGTTGCTCTTGATGTGTATCAACATTGTCTTCTATCGGCAGGATGTTTTCTCCACAGCTTCACTGGTACTGAGTAGATCATCCACTCCTGATCCCATTCACTTTATGGCCTTCAGGTCTCTGTTTTAGTAATTGCCCTTATGGCATATTTCACCCTTTTATTCTGTGGATACCTTATACTCACTGCGTGCAAACTTGTCTTATCATCTACTCTCCAAACCAAGTGTTTGGCTTGACTTCCGTCATTTCTGGTTTTGGTTTTATCATTTTATCTAAGCCTCCTTTTTCACTTTCTTGTTTTTCAAGGTTTGGGAATTTTTAATCTTTGAAATATTTTTCAAATCTACCTTCTTTTCCATGTCCTTAAACTTCAAAATCTGTTGAATCAAGTACAGCAGCAAGTCTTTCAATAACGTGGTTTAATTCAGTGTTATTTCATTTTAACATTGACATGATGCTATAGGAACTTAATTGGTTTTGTTATACATCATTTCACTCAAAGTTCCAGAACCTGTTCGTTACCTTAAGTGAGGACTTACAGCGTCCTTGACCTGCCGTTTAAGGTCCTCATGCTGTGCTTTTCAAGCTGAGAGTCTCAATTCATTTAACAGGTTTTGAAATCAGTTTAGTAGATTGCTACCAGCATTTGCAAAACAAAAAATGTCAAGAGTATTTATTCATATTTCATGAAATTTGTTTCTGTGTATATTTTGTTGTGGTCCTAATTTTCTATGGATATGTTCTTTTGCCCCCCAGTAATGTAGAAACTAATATGGACCAGTTTCTAGTTAAATGCAGATGGTGAGCATTTCAGGTCACTAAGTAATAGTGAACATTAAATAATTCAATTGAACATTAAATAATTCAATTTTGATAACTAAATTGTTTTCACTTACCTACACTGAGAAAAAATTTTAATATATACCAGTTTGATATAATAATTTTTGCTCACTATTAAGATTGTACAATTTTTCATGATTTTTGCTCATATGCCTGTCATGGATTGTGACTTATTATTTCCAGATATTCATTTATCTTTTAATTTTGTTATAGTATTTTTAGAGATTTTTCATCAAGTTAAATCTATCAATCTTTCCCTTTTAGTTTTCTCCCTTTGTATCATGTTCAGAAGGGCTTTCCTACTTAAAAACAATATATTCATATTCATCTAAATACTATTTTAATACTTACGTGGTCTCATTTTTCAAAATAAAAATAGTATTTTATATTATTAAATGATTATATACTCAGCATAAAGCAATTTTGATAAAAGAGTTTTTTTAAGTATATCTTTATTGATTTCAGAGAGAGGAAGGGAAAGGGAGAGAGAGAGAAACATCAATGATGAGAGTCATTGCTGGTCTGCCTCCTGCACAACCCCTGCTGGGGATCGAGCCTGCAACCTGGGCATGTACCCTGACCAGGAATCGAACCTCAGTCTTCTGGATCCTAGGTCACTGCTCAACCACTGAGCCATGCCCGGCTGGGCGATAAAAGAGTTTTTAAATGAAGTGAAAATCTTTCATAACATCATGTCCTAAGAGAATTATTAAAATTTTGTTTTATGTCCTCCCTGCATTTTTCCTTGGCATGTAGCTTTACAATTTTGGGATCATGTTAATGTATTTTATAGTTTATATTATAATTTTTAGTGATTTGAAGAGTTTATAGTTTTATAAAGTTACCATATATTTAGCTTATATCCTATAGTTGGGCATTTAAATTGATGTCCAATTTCTTGTAATAATCATAGTGAACACTGATAGACACTTTTCCCCTCACCTTTAAGATAAATTCCTAGAAGTGAGATTCCTGGGGCTAATAGTATGTATATTGTTAATTTTGGTCCACCCACCTTATCCCTTAAACTGGAAACTTGAAGTGTACATCTTTTTCACCTGCCATATTCAACCTCTCGTTAAATGCTCTTGATTACACTTTTAAATAATTTCTTACATGGTACACTTCTTTCCATTTAAACTGCTTCCACCCTAATCAAAGGCATAATCTTCTCTGACCTGGACTTGCAGTAGCAGTTAAAGGGTCTTTCCACCTGTCTTATCCCACTCTAATCCATTTTCTGCAGTCATCCTTTAAAACCATAAATCTAGCATAAATCTTATAGTGCTGCTTAAAACCCTTCACTGCTTTCTCTTTTACTCAGAATAATGTGCAGACCATCCTTATTGCCTACAAGGCCCTCCAAGATCAGGCCTCTACCTGCTTTTCCAAAATCATCCTGTACTATCTTCTCTCACTAAGCTCTAACCACACTGGCCTCTTTTTCCTTCAAATTCTGTAGGCTCTTTTCTACCTCAGGGCTTTAAAACATATTGTTCTACCTGGAAATCTCTTACCTCCTCTCATTTCATTTCATTTCATTTCATTTCATTTCATTTCATTTCATTTCATTTTTCATTTCATATTTTCACTTATTATTTTATTTTATTATTTCACTTCACTTCTTCATTTTATTTTATTTTTCCATCCATTCCCACCTGAGGATATGTTTATTGATTTTAGAGGTGGGGGCGGGGGTGGGGAGAGAGAAAGAAACATTGACGTGAAAGAGAAACATCAGTCGGTTGGCTTCTATACTTGCCCCTACTGGGCATCACCTGCAGCCTAGGAAAGTGCCCTGAGGGGGAATCAAACCTGCAACCTTTTGGTGTATGGGATGATGCTACAGCCAACCAAGCCACCCTGCCAGGGCTTGTAGCATTTCTTTATGTTATGTCTGCCGCCTCCACCAGACAAGTCCCACCAGGGCAATCTTTTCAGTTTTGTTCACTATTGTATACCCAGCACCCAGCAGCAGTTAGGTAATCAGTGAGTATTTTTAGAATAAGTTAATATTTCCACATATTCATTAGATAAGTAGAATCAATTTATACTGTTATCAAAAGTACGACTTTGGGTTGATATTTTTTGCATTTGAGTTTCTTTTGTTATATGGTGCAAGATGAAGGGATTTATTTTCCCAGTTAGCCATTTGTCCCATAACCTACTATTCTTCTGTAATTCAGCCTTTTCTCACTTTAAAATACTAACTATATTTATATTACAATAAATTCTTATGTCGTAAGTCTCTTTATGGACTTTATTTTCTGTTACATTGCTCTGTTAACCTAGGTGCCATGACCATGTAATTTTATTTTTGCTGTACTGTATACACTTATTTGTTAGACAAAATTCCGTTCGTTGCATTAACTATATTTGATTCCAATCTGTATTCTCCCAGATGAAGTGGTTTTGACTGTCTTGCTAAAGTTCCAGAGTACAAAATGCTACTGGAATTTTAATAGAAATTGTATTGAATTTACAAAGTAGTATATTTAGTAATATTTAGTCTTCCTATCTACAGACATACTTTGTTCTATGTCCTTTTCAGTATTTTGTAATTTTCTTTATGGATCCTGAACATTTCTGAATTTTATTCTGGGAGATATTTTTATTGCTTTTGGGAGAAACTGGTTTTTCTACTTATATCTTCTACCGTTAATTGCTGATACAGAGAAAAGCTATTTATTTTTGTTTTTATTATTTACTTATTTTTTCTCATAAGCTTTCAATTCTTTTGGGTGCTAAAGATAGACTAATAACTTGTCACAGAGCACGTTTAATATGTTTATTCATAGACATCATTTCAAAGTCTTGATATTCTAGGGTATGTTTGTAGTTTGAGATTAATCATAAATATCTTATTTGCTTGCATTTTACATAATTAGAATTATATCATTGAGTAGCAGTGGAAATACAGTCAACAGTTGAAGGTCATTGAAGAAAACAAAAAAATAGAGAAAATTAGGATTTTTTTTCTCTTAAATTTTTCACAATGAAATACTGTAAACCAGAATTAGCAGGCTGTCTTAGTTCTAAAACTGTTTTTCTCTTTTCAGGAAGTAGTTCTGAAAGATGGAAGAATTGAAAGACTCAAGTTGGAACTTGAAAGGAAAGATGCTGAAATCCAGAAGCTAAAAAATGTGATCACTCAGTGGGAGGTTTGTGTTTATTTACTGTTGTAAAACTAGTAATCTGCACATTTTCTGTTTTTATTATATATAAGTATGTTTATTGTTTGATTGAAATAATGTTTCTGCTGTTTTGGTTTTTAAACTCATTAATGTTATAAAAGTGAAATGATAATATAGTTTCTTTTTATTGTAAGATATATATAACAATTAGCCATTTTAACTATTTTTAAGCGTACAATTCAGTAGCATTAAGTACCTTCGTAATGTTGTGTAGTCATCACCACTGTTTCCAAAACTTTTTCATTATTCCAAACAAACTCTGCACCCATTAAACAGTTCCCTATTTCCTCTTCCCTTGCAACCTGTGGTAATATCTAGTCTTTATGATTTTGCTTCTTCTGAGTACTTCATATAAGTGGAATCATACAATATTTGTTCTATTGTGTCTGGCTTATTTCACTTAGCATGTTTCAAGGTTCATCCAAGTTTTAGCATGTGTCAGAATTTCATAGTGAATAGAGCTGTAGTTGACTGAATAAGTTTTTTTCCTTCATATTTTTATTTTTCCATCTGACCTATCTCCCTTGTTCATTTCTAAGCTGCTCAGAATTCCTACTCCCTTTATATTTACTGTGTTGCTTACTTCTGTTCATTGTATTACCTGCAGTATTACTCAGATTTATCATCAGCAATTTACTGGGCAGAAAATTTAGTAAATCTGTATTTATTGGACTTGATTTAAAATATATTAAATTTGTTTTATGAGAAAGACTTTTGAATCTGGTAACTTCTGTACCTATCTGTGTACATGATGAGAGAAGAAATGACAAGTTTCTTATACTGATCTGTTTCTGATTTCTTGTTTTTTTATAATGTATTAAATGTATTGTTTTTTCTAATGTATTGAGTATTTATAAGTAATTCCGAGTGTGTTATATGTTGAGTAAAGGTGGTGTAGGGAGAAAATTCTCCAGAATATGGAGGTTAACATGGAAACACAGTTCCTCTTTTCATAAATGTATAATCGTATCATTTATGTAGTATGAAAAGCAGCTAAGCCATTTGAGAAAAAAAATTGAAAAAGAATCAAAAGATATTTCAGTAAATTACTAATTTGTATCAGACAAAAATTACTTTAACATTTAGTTAGTAAAATAACAAGAGATTAGTAAATTTAGTCTTAACTGAGAAGACACAACTGTGCTGTACAGTTCAGTAACCATTACATGAGTATAACCTAAGTTTAAGTTAAATAAAGTTAAAAATGTATTTTCTCAGTCACACTAGGTGCATTTCCAGTAGTTAATAGTCACGTATTGGACAGTGGCAGATAAAGAACAGATACAGAAAGTTGTAGTATAGTACCGGATACTCCTGGTACAGAGCTATGAATAATTTTTTTTCTAATTATTTTGAAATGTTAAGGGTTTCATTTGAGGAAGAAAAGAGAAAGACTTCAGGGTCTTTTAATGTTATCCTGAGTTTTCTCCACTTTTATCCCTCTCTTTTATTTTTCAATCACCAGGGATTTAATATAAGTAGTAGACAGTTCTAAATACATTTTCCTTCATCCTGTTTCTTTCAAAAGGAACTATGTCTTTGAGCAAGTTGAGAACTCACAGCTCTATAAATCAATAGTAAATCATTAATTTTATCATTTACTTTAAAAAATGAAATCTTTTTTTCTTTGACTATTAGGCAAAGTATAAAGAAGTAAAGGCAAGAAATGCACAGTTATTGAAAATGCTTCAGGAAGGTGAAAGTAAGTGATTTTTGTGGTTTTAGAATTAAACATCTTAAAAATATTTGAAGATAATTTTTCAAGATACGTGATTTATTAACTCAACAAAATAAAAAGGTTTCCCAAAGTGATACAAACTGGATTGTTGCTGATAATTTTGTTACTACAAGTCACTCTTACAGTACCTTAGGTATTAAAATTATTCATGTAAGAGAAATCTTGAAATTTCAATTTTTATAAATTGTTAGACTACATTTATCAGGAAAACAAGAATAACATTTGTTTAAGAGTCTGCTTTTTAGTTATTAGATGAGAAGACCTATCATCATTTTAGATTTTCCTTCTCCATAACCCCCCACTCTTCATATTCTTGCTGCCACTCTAAACTCTCAGCAATAGGTCAGAAGCAGGAAGCCAAGGAAATCAATCAAAACTGATTAGAGAGAGTAACCAAAGAATTTATATGCATATATACACAACCCAAGGACATGGAAAATGGTGGGGAGAGGGACCGGGGAGGGGGATGCGACGGGGTGGAATGGGTCATTGGGGAGAAAAAGGGACATTTGTAATATTTAAAAAAAAAAAAAAAAAAAAAGACATTGTTTATTCACCAAAACAACAAACAAAAACACACACAACTGATTAGAGAGCCTGGCTGGGTATGACTCAGCGGTTGAGCATCCACCTAGGATCCAGGAGATCGAGGTTCGATTCCTGGTCAGGACACATGCTGGGTTTCGGGCTTGATCCCCAGTAGGGGGCATGCAGGAGGAAGCCGATCAGTGACTCTCGCATCATTGATGTTTCTCTCTCTCCTTCTTCCTCCCTCTCTCTGAAATCAACAAAGATATATTAAAAACAAAAAACTGATTAGAGATTAAAATAAGACTAGGAAAGTTGGTGTTTTATGAAAATCCTCACAAATTAGTTGCTTTCTTGATTGTTTACCTGATGACATTTCCCTTGAAAATTCTATGAAAATTTTCCATTCATGACAGAAAAGAAAATGTATATTAATTTTTAATATAAAGTCTATGCCAAGAAAATTATTAACCATAAAAGAGACATAGAGAAAGACATGAATAAATGAGAAAATCTTCTGCACAAAATTAAGTCTAATAAACAATTTTCCCTGCTAATATTAATGAAATACCAAATAAAGCTCCTGTGAGTACTGTATAGCACTTAAGAAACTGTGAAACTCACCTTGAAGAATAAATAAGACCAAAAAATTTGTTTCAAATATGAAGATACTGGGAGAATTGTCCAACCAAAATTTAAACTAAATTATTAAATAACAGTTATCAAAACAATATGAGTAAAAACCAGAAATCTTGTCCAGTTGAACAGAATATATAGTCTTGAAGTAGATTCAGGCTTATTTTTTAACTTTTCTATTTTTTATGATATAACTATAATTTATTATACAGCTTAACTATGATGAAATAGAAGTTAAAGTATAATGGGGAAAGGCATTATTTGGACAATTAGAAACCAACATCCTGAGATTCATTTAGATCTGTTCACGTTACTGAGCTCATGTGGATCATTTAATGAATAAAATTATGAAAATAATTGTTTACAAGGTATGTTTCTCATAGAATAAATTAAGGGTATAATTGGATGTATGATTTTTAAATATGTAAACGAAATATACCTTAGTTAAGGAAACATTGTAAAAAGTGAGAAAATTAACTGATAAAAGCTTACTCTCAATAATGGATTAAAATTGGCTACTAGTAAATAAAAATCAGTGTCCATACTATAAATAATCCAACTAGAAGAATTTGATATAGGACCATTACATGAAAAATACAGTATATTAGAGTATATATACTCTGGCATTTATAATATAATAAATGTAAATACAGTCAGTTCTGTTATAATGCAACATGTGCTCCTAAAAATCACCAATCTTTGCAGAATCACAGTTAAAACCATAACGTCTATGGGGGAAATGGGGTTTGAAGCATACAACACTCAAAAAACTTCATCAGTGACACATTAAAAAAATATGGGAATCTAATAAAAACAGTATAACAGTTTTATACATGTTTAAAATGGTTAAACACAACCTAGTTTGCTTGTAGAAGTAGGCTTCAGAGGGTTATAACTTGTGCGTTACTGGTTAGATATGGAAAACTTGACAATTGGTCTGGTTCTTAACACAGTGAACTGAGATAGGTGGTAGATATTTGAATAGCGTGTCTGGGTGCAGATTGCTGTGTTCATAAAATTGAGCTTAAGCAAATGCAAAATTCCTATTGTGTTTAAATTGTTCCTAATATATCAGTGTCATTGAAACAAACATAGGAGAAGTGACTAATTAAAATACTATATAATTATTAAAAATCACTAGTTCTTAGTATGTGTGTTTAGTTCTGGAGATGGAGGAATAGAAAGTATAATTCATAAAAGTTCCCAGGTTGATTCTTGAGAGACTTATTTGTTTCTAGATACGTTGTTATACCTTATTGCATATTATATTAAACTGTGAAAACTAAATTTGATTTACAGTGTCATATTGGTAGAGCTATGGTGACACCAGTACTCAAAAATACTTAAAACATTTCTCCCTTTACTAATTTTATTATAGTTTTACTTCTTCAATCTTAGTTTTCTTTTTCTTCTTAGCTTGTTTTTAAAGTTCAGGAGTTAGTTTTTCATTCAGTAGCCATTACCATGGAATTTGTCAGCCATATGGAGATTTTTAATGCTTAGGAAACTTAGGGGGCCAAAATACAGATCTCTTTCTTCCCCAAAGAGAGAAAAAACCTCTAGACAAATAGTTCTGAGAGATCACAGAGGTTATATGACCAGTTACGAGCTAGGTTTATTTGATAGTGCTTTATTGGTATGAAACATATAGATATAAATAATTTCTCTAGGTCTATATGGTCACCCTGTCAGTTTTTAAAACAAAACAAACAGAAGCCCTCTACATTTTTTAATCTTAAAGATTAGTCAAGTATTTAAAGTTTTCTCCCTGTGTGAAATGTATTTTCTTGTGTCCTTGTCCTTTTTACTGTAGATGGAAAAACTTACTCTTTCATCATAGCTGTACAATTAATATTTTAATGCTACAGAAAATGTAAAATTTCCATTAATATGATAATAAATGATTAGAATTTCCTAATGAAAAATAAGAGCTATATAGGGTCAAGAAATATATTCATTAAGTAGGAGGACAATTAATTGTTGCCTGACTGCATTGCTATCTTGGTTCACTAAAGTACTGTTAAAGTATTTGAGTGATTGAAAATATTATCCTATTCTTTCTCCTTTTTTGTCAGTGAAAGATAAAGCAGAAATACTTCTGCAAGTTGATGAATCACAAAGTATCAAGAATGAACTGACTATACAGGTAAGAAAAACTGTATAAGACTGGTATGCTTAGGCCATTCTTTAGTCTTGAATTATGAAACTTGACTAAACAAAAATATAGTCCATCAACACTGCAAGAAAATGATATGAATTGGTGAACACACAATACAAATATACAGATGATGTATTATAGAACTGTACACCTGAAACATATAATTTTATTAACCAATGTTACCCCAATAAATTCAATAAAAAAGAAAGTGATATAAATTATATTTAATTATTACTATATGTAATAGCAAACAAGTGAAGATACTATTTACTGTGTAAGGGAGATAGGTATGTTCTGAAGAATAGGGGAAGATAAGGTTGTATTTTAGTTGATGTGGACTATGACTATAGAGATAGAAATAGAAAGGGCAGCTAGAACTTACCCTACTCTTGGACTTGATTTTCTGCACTTCCCATCATTATTCTGTGGTCTTAGATCAGTGAGCTTGTCCTGCCTACTCTAATATATAGCTAAGTAAAGTGCCTAATTGAAATTGGGGTGGTGAGGAGGGGTTCTCCTCTGATGCTCATTTATCCAGTAGTCAAAAATCATCATTATGAATAAGTGTTAAGAATTAAGGTTATTGTATGTATGGTGCCAGGTAGCAGGTACTGGAAATATTGAGGGGAACACTTTGTAAAGTATATGGTTGTCTAACCACTATGTTGTACACACCTGAAATTAATACAAAATAATATTGAATCTAAAAAAATATATATATGTTTACACAGAACTAAAAAAAAAGAGTATTTCAAAAAAAGTCTTTAAAAATTGAATATTTGGTTATAGGTGTCTTCACTTCATGCTGCGTTAGAACAAGAAAGATCTAAAGTGAAAGTATTACAAGCAGAATTAGCCAAATATCAGGTATGCTTTTATAATTTTGGAAATGTTTTCATCACAAATAATACATTTGAAATAGATATTATGTGAGAATAACTGCATTATTTTGTTCTTAGGCCAAAATTTATTCACCAGAAATATTAATGATTTTGTTATATAATTTACATTTTAGAAAATGTTAAGGTTATTCTAGATATTGGTATATGCATCTAGATATTGGATATCTCTAAAGTATTTCAGAAAAATTCTTGGTACTACATATGATGTCGCATACATGCCATTGACTCATATCAAGGGAAGGTACATAATGACATTTGTCCCATTATATAATACGTTTAATCACTTGGGTACAGCAATATCTTTTGGATGTCTTCATTGTAAAGGTATATTTTCCAGTTTGGAAATTAATAAATGATATGTTGAGTGATACTTTGAGATTGTGTGACTATCCTTTTCTATTTACCCAGTGTTTTAGCATCCATTGATATTTGTAGCAGTTACTTTTGGTGGTTGCAAAATAGTGATTTTTCTAATTGTGTCATTTCTTCCGCACTCACAAATTGACATTCAGCATTTTATTCTGGACGAAGCAGTTAAAAATATCAGTGCTGTTTCAGTATATGTGTATCTATAAGTATATATAAATACACACATGTATTTGTATGTATGTATGTATGTGTGTCTAAGTCATGATATAAAAACATATTAATGTGGGGTCACTGTCAAAATAGTTTGAAAGCCACTGGTGGCCTAGAGAACGTAAAAGTTGTTTAGCCCCAGCTTTGACATCTCATCAATCCGGGAATGAGAATTTGTCTGGGAGGCTTTGAAAATGATTCTTGAATTTTTTGTGTTTTAAAAAAAATCTTGTTGAGAAGCAAGGTAAGAATTTTAAGCTATATAAGATTGATACTTATGTGTAGTTGGGATCTACCTTATAGAAAAATTTTTGATAAATTTATTTTTATATTTCTATCAGGAAATTATTTTTTAATGCATTTCATTATACATCTCAGGTCCCACATAATCTCTTTATACTTATTTTCTCTGAATGAATCCTTGCAGAACTTTTATTTGGTCAGGAATGAATAACAGGGTTCTTATACTTGACTTTTTAAAAATGAAGGTTGACATAGAAATGTTTTTGATTACCAAGAGGAAAGTTATAGGCAGAAAAAAGATGGGAAAAAAAAACAAAACAAAGAGAAGCTAGCCACTATTATTAAGTGGGCCTGGGTTTCACGTGCCCCTGATATAACCACCATTTTTAGAAATGCGCTTTTCACAGACAGGTAGTTCCCAGACTTGGCTGATCATCAGAATCACTTTAGAGCTTTTTGAATTATAGTTTGTCCCACTCCTGGTAATTGTGAATAAATAGGTCTAGGACAAAGTCTAGACATCCAAATTTGAAAAATATTACTCAGGTGGTTGTAATGATCAACTGAATTTGAGTACCATTGCCTTAGTTTATAAAAACAGAGAGAAAAACTATACTATTGTTGTAAGACAAACACATCAAATCATTATTTATGATTAAAATGGAGGTAGTTATGGATGATTTTAATTTTCTTCTTTGTACCTTGTACTTTCCATATTTCTACAATTAATATTTACTTTTAAAATTATAATGCAGAAAATGTTATGTTTAAATTAATGCAAAATACTTGTCAAGTTGCTTCTCTCTTTTCTTGGCCCAAGTCAAGTACCATAGATGGAGTTTCAGTTGGACAGATTAAATACAGATGTATATATGTCATTGAGCAATAAGAAAAGTATAATCTACTTTTCAAACCAGTGATGAACAAAATCAGACTTCTAATGCTGTCTGATAAGAGGAAGACTAGACAGAACTTGCATTAGAAATTGAATTACCCAAAAGGGATTATATGGAATAAATTGTGTTAGTATTGATCAAAGTTTTTATTTTAAAAACAATCTGGGACAGTCTAAAAGAGCTCTAAAAAGATAACATATTGGTGATCTTACTAAGTCTAGACTAGTTCAAATAGATGTAACTGTTTTCTACAACTACTTTAACGATTTGTAAAAATAACCCTGTAAAAATAATTTAGTATATGCATATTCAAATATGCAACAAACTCAAAAAAGAAATTGCTTCCTTCTCATACACAAAAATGCCTTTGGTTTCATATATTCTTAAAATGACAGTGTCCCCAAAATGGTGTTTCCTAAATAATTTGCCCTATTTTTCTTTACAGGGTGGCAGAAAAGGGAAAAGAAACTCTGAATTCGACCAGTGTAGGTGATTCCATTAGCCTTTGAGGTCAACACAAAAATTAAAACTTTCAGGGTTTTGCAAAAATGTATATATTTAATGCTGTACAACTGCTAAGCTATGCAGTTTTTGTTGAAGAAATACTTAAAACAATTAGCTTACTACAGTCTATACTTTTTTGTCCTTTTGGCTTAAAGTGAAAAGAAGAAAAACAGAATTCCAGCAGAACACAATGATTATTGTTTACTATCCGTACTTCTTATCACTTTAGTTTTTCATCAGTCAATAAAATTAATTTACTCTTCCATTAATACGTTTGATGTTTTAAGTTTCAGAAACAATGTGAACATTTTATTTTTGCCTATAGCATAACCAATTAATTGGATTATTTAAGTTCAGTGAATATTTACTTAGCACTTTCTGCATGCTAAACCTATGGGACATACAAGATGGTTGATATAATAGGTGTAGTGCCTATTATAAAAGATTGAGGCTCTCTAAGCTCAGAACTCCTCTCTTAGAATCTACTACATGTACAGATGACACTTTTCCTCTTTGCATTGCTCTTTGGGAACTGGACCTTGGGGAAATGGTGCATGACAATGCTGATAATCTTTTATTGATGTAAGTAACAGAGTCCTTTGTCCTTGACTAGGAGACTTGTGTCTTCTCTATCCACATCCACAAAATTGTGGCAACTTAGCTTGCAAGTAGGGCAAGTAGAGGCTGATATTTAGATCAGCCTCAGGTTCATGCCAATGTAACAACAGTGACAGAAACAGGCATTACATTAAACATGAAAGGGAAATTCCCAACTGCTATGGGCAGAAACCAGGCAGATTTGTAGACTGTTGCTGGTTGGCTTGGGATATGAAGGAGTGAGCATGTAAGCATTAAGAATGGCAACAGCTAGGCTGTCCTTCAGCTCAGCTCTTCCCTCAGTCTGTCATGCTAATCTTACATTCATCCAGAGATGACAGTAAAAGGTCTCAAGAGTTTTTTTGCTTTTTACAGTGAAAACTGCTACAAGGAACTTTGGCCCTTTATAGATTTTCCTTAGACAGACTAATTTCTGCAGAAACCATAAATGAGGTATTTAGATTAGTATTAAGACTCTTATTGCCCCAGGTTGGGTTTACAGTGCTAATGAGGTAACCCACTGAAGAATGAAAAACAGACCCAAAGGAATCTAGATAACTTCTGGAAATCAGCCCTGCCATCATGGAAAACTCCCCCTAGCACTTATGTTGAATTTAAGAGCGATTATTTTGATAAGGGGGCAGTAAAACCCAGATTATGGTGGACTCCTCAAAGGTCATCAGCCAAAGGACAGACTCCAGCCACAACTGGAAAATGTGGCTGTGGCTGCCACAGTTACAAAGGCAGAAATAGTGTGAGCGGATGATGTCTTTTCTGCCTAATACAGAGCTTTGGGTAGACTGGAAACATTGGAAGTTTGACGAAGCTGTGGGCAGCCACTGCACTGCTTAAAACAAAGTCATTGCACCTTGCTTCTGGCACATACACTCCTTCCTGCCTCTTGATCCCTCTCTTCTCCTCTACCCCAGCTTCAGCTGCTTTAAGGGAAAGATGATTAGGAGAGAGGTCAAGCTTTCCCTGTCACCAAGGGGAACCAAAGGTCCGTCTGGCAAGTATTCGGGGGAACTTTGGGGTGGAGAGGAACTCAAACTTGTATGGCTCTGCTGGATACAGGAGCCCATCACCATTCTCCCAGCCTCATGGGGGAACTGGCACCGGGAATGCAGCAAATGGGGCTCAGGAAGGATTCACCTGGAAAAGGAATGCTAAAGTGACCTTCTGGGTGCGGTCCTCCAGGCCAATTCCATCTTCATTACTTTTATGTCTGAATGTGTAGTAGAAATTGATGTGTACCTGTGTTTCCTCATTCCCTAAGTGCCAGAGGAGGTTCTCTTGATTGAAAAGAGTTGCAAGCAGAGAAGTGCTAGTGATTCTGAGGCTCTATAGTTTGAGCTACAAGTCTGTAGAACTGATAATTTTGCCAACTGGAGTCTTTGATGAGAGGAGGCAGCCTCCATCCCGAGGTGCCCCTTGGGGTTTTGAACTCATAGCCTCCCTAACACAGCTACCACATACACCCCATTTGAAAAGCAGCTATTAGTTGTCCTGGCTGGGTAGCTCAGTTGGTTAGAACATCATCTGCATACACTAAGATTGAGGATTCGATCTCTGGTCAGCACATACAAGAATCAACCAATGAATGCATAAATTAGTGGAACAACAAATGGATGTCTCTCTCTCTCCCTTTCATCAATAAAAAAGAAATGAAAAAAAAGAAAACCTATTTCCCAAGTACTCCATTTAAAAAAACACACAAAAAAGCTATTTATTAGCTTGCTATTGAGCTCTTTGTTGAAACTGAATGCCTGACTGATAAGGGCCTCGTGACTCAGCCTAATACTGCCATTTGGGGGGGTGGGTCAATTTGGACTGAATGACTACCACGGTGGAAGGGCTAAATAAGCCTTGGTCATCAAATGGAAATGATATATTCAAAAATGATGTTCTGGCCCAGTGGCATCCTGGCTTTATATGAAAAGCGGAAGCTATCTCCCTGGGAGAAACCTTATCATTTGCCTTCTCCTCCCTCTGACTTTTCTGTATGAAGCAAAGCTGCTGACTCAATGGGGCTCTCAATTCAGGATTTCCCCTAAATGCTTGGGCCTGATTCACTGATGGTTTAGCTACACTGAAACCTATTAGGAGGCCTCGGATCTGCTGTGGCTGTTCAACTTGGGTATTAACATGTAGGACCAAAAGTGGACATGGTCACTACATTCTGGGCAGAATTCAAGGCCACTCTCTTATCTCTGACCAATAGTCCTCTTGATGAACTTTGTTATATTTGTACTGACTGTGGGCTGTTGCCAGTGGCCTAGCTCTTCAGTCTGCACTTGGAAAACTACAGACTGGCAGATTGAAAACACCTCCTCTCTGGGGACATGAAGTATACAAACAAAATCACAACTGCTGACCCAACCACTTGGGTCTCTCATGTAGACGTCCATGGTAGGGGCCATTCCGATGAAACTGACTGAAGTCAGTTGCTGACAGAGCTTTGTGCTGCCCTGATTGCCACCATTGCTGCTTCTGTCCATCATTGTACTTGACGTGATCCACACCCATCATCACAGAGTGGGCAGAGTATCAAGGGCTACTACTGATTGCCAGACTTGGACTCCTGACAAAAGATGATGCATCTGTCTCAGGGAATGAGGCCACTCCTGGCATATTGATTACATTGGACTTTTGACCCTCTCTCAGGTATTGGTGGTGTCTCATCATTGTTGACACTTTGTCACCCTTGGTGTTCCTGGTCTAGTCCAATCAACTGTCTGTAGCCACACTCTTGTGCCCCTTAAACTAATCTGTCATGTTTTTGGCTTTCTGGACCATTTGCAATCTGACAGTGGTGTACCTTTTATTGCAAAAGCCACTTAACAATGGGCTAATGGCCAAGGTACTCAGGACTTTTTGTGCTACAATCGACAGTCATCTCAAAGATTCTCTGCTTTATATCCCATACCTGCTCCTTGTTTATACACTTTAGTACTAGGTATTTTCGTCACTGAATGTGGCTGTCTCCAGAAAGAAATCATCTCCTGGCCACTTCCTAGGTAATGATAAAGAGGAGATGGGGTGGGGGAAGTATATAAAACTATATTGAAAATCCAGAAAGCTACCCTGGGCATGATGCTGCTTTCCTCTAATGACAAATGCATGTTGGTCTGGTTGGTACATTACGATTTAAGCTTAATTCTGGTTTAGCTGCTTGGATTCTCCTGTTGGACTGACATGGTCTTAGTGCGTAAGGATAATGTTGAGTACATTTCTCCCTTAGTCCCCCTATAACGGCCAATGGTGGTCCAAATGAGGGACATAATGGGTCTTCGTAAGTTTTAGAAAAATGTCCTTATTACTTTTGTGCCTTATCCTTATGGACAAAAGGTCTAGGTGTGAATCAGGGATGAATGGAAGGTGAAGTTATAGCTACTGGAATGGGACACTGTTTTTTTTGGTGGTAGGGGTAAACTGTCTGGCACTAGGGGAAGTAACATCTTGAACCTCGGGAGGCAGGGGAGAGGGAGAAACATCAATGGTCTTCTGTCTTTCAGAGCTATCCCTGGACCTTTTCTCATGAAGGAAGACATTCAGGTAAGGTTCTCATGAATTAGCAAATGCTACATTTAACTGAGTCTGCTGTGTCCCACCACACAGCTCTGACCACAGTTGATTGCCATTCTTGTTTAGTAAGAAAATGGCAGGGAGCCCTGGTGGGGTAGCTCAGTTGGTTAGAGCGTCATCCTGATATGTCAAGGTTGTGGGTTCAATCTCCAGTCAGGGCACATGCAAGAATCAACCAATGAATGCATAAGTAAGTGGAACAACAAATTGATGTTTCTCCTCTCCCTCTCTCTCTCAAATCAATTTTTTAAAAAGTTTAAAAAAAAAGCAGGGAATGTCCCATCTCTTGTACCTCCCATGAAAAACACCTGTCAGCACCTCCAGATATCTTTCCCACTCCCACTCCTGTAGCTTTCACTAGTCATTCTGTGGAGTGGATGAATGCCACTCGGCTGGTGGCATGGACAGACAAGACTGTAGGCAGTCCCTCCGTAAACAAAGACTAGACTTAATTATTCAAACTGAACTAGGAACCCTAAGGCCTACCACAGTGTCCAACTTGTGCCCCACAACTGATGGAGATCACATTGTTGGAGGGAGGGGGGGCTCCAATAATTATAAACATTTTTCCAGGTGCACCATGTGTGCCCCAGGACTACTACTTGGGTGAATGTCAGGCATTAATTTTCCTCCTCTTGAAAAAACAGTGGCTTGCATCTTAGGGGTGGTCATAAGAAACCTAGTGTTTGAGAAAACACCATCAATAGATCACAGAGCCATCAGATCACACATAGAACTATCCAAATAAGGCTGCCCTTGATTACTTGGAGGAGTTTCTCAGAGGGATAATTTACTTGCTATTTTTTATGCAACTTGGGGAGGAGGAAGTTATTCCTACAACAAGAACCATCCAATTAGAAGAGGTAGAACAAAATTTGTCCTCAATTTAGCTGAAGAGATCAATGACATCACACTGGCCCTGGAAGGCATTCAAGTCAGCCTCAACTCACTGCTCAGGATTGTTATGATTGATATAATTGCCCTAGATTTCCTCTGTGCAGGCCATGGCAAAGTATTTATAATTGCTAAAACATCCTTCTGTGCCTAGATTAATGCCTTGGGCCAAGGGGATAAGGTAATACAAAAACAATACCAACAAGTAGCCAAAGTAGACCCTGATGGTTTATGGGATTTGTTCAGTGGATTGGGTCTAGACCCCTGGGGAGCATGGTTATTAATACTGCAGGTTGGCCTCATACTGCTCTTTGGAATCCTGTTGAAACTAGCCTTATTAAATGCTTTATGAGACAAATTGGATGGATTTGGTCCCAGCCTCTGGTGGTCAGATTAATCAGAATGACCAATAGAGTGGCATCCTCATGGGAAAGTTTGCCAGAAGCCACAAAAGTGTAGAAACAAGGGATAAATATTATCAGGAGATAATTCTTCATGGGTCTCTCATAATTTTGCATATCTTGTGAATGCAGGCACTGACCACCTGTGGTGGGTAGAATAATGGCTCTCCAAAGACCCTAATTTTCAGGACTTGTAAATGTCACTTTACATGCAAAAGGGACTCTGCAGATGTGATTAAGGATCCTGAGATGATGAGATTACCCTGGGTTATTTGTGAGGGCCCAGTGTCATCATAAGGGAAAGGGAGGCAGGAGAGTCAGAAGAGTTTGACAATGGAAGCAAAAGTTGTAGTGATCTGGCCACTGCTCCAAGGAATGTGAGCAGTCTCTAGACACTGGAAAAGGCAAGGAACAGATTCTCCCCCAGAGCCTCCAGAAAGAACACAGTCTTTGACTTTAGACCCATATTGGACTTCTGACCTCCAGAATTTTAGGATAACCTGTGTTATTTTAAGCCACTAAATTTGTGATTATTTGTTAAAGCAACAATAGGAAACTAATATACTGTCTTTGTTCTGGACAATTTTTTAAGGATATTTGTATAGTGAACAGTCCTTGAAGAAAATCTCTCCCGAGCAAAGAGCTGCAATATTACTGCCTATTTATAAGGTTTGGGTTCCCTATACTTGGGGTTCCTATTGTAACACAACCCACTGCATGTGTAGTGTCATCATTCTGCAGAAGTTGGGACTTGGGGAACTGGTATAAAAAAATGCTGATACGCTGGCTACAACTATTGCTATACCGAAGTCCATTGCTTCTTATGTCTTCTGCCAGCATTTATGAAACTTAGCTTGTAAATAGGGGAAAACCTCAGACCCCTCACAATTCTTGATCATAGAACTGATAAACCACAGTGCTCTTCACCTTTCACCTAATTTGGAAAACAAGGCTGTAAGAATTATTTGGATGAGATGGAATGATTGGAAGGCTATACACTTTTTTTTTTTAATCCTCACCCGAGATATTTTTTCCCATTGCTTTTCAGAGAGAGTGGATGGGAGAGAGAAACATCGATATGAGACACATCAATTGGTTGCCTCCCACATGCACCCTGACCCAGGCTGGGGATCGAGCCTGCAACCAAGGTATATGCCCTTGGCCAGAATCGAACCCAGGACCTTTCAGTCTGAGGGCCGACGCTCTAACCAGAGCCAAAACAGCTAGGGCAGAAGGTATACACTTTTTAAAACAACTCAGCTTCCGGTGTAAAATATCTCAATAGGCTGCCTTATGTGCTACAAAACTCCCACTATCCTAAAGCATTTCCCCCCATAAGCATTATTCCCTGGAATTCCTAGATGATTTGTTTTATATACAGTGGTATCTCGGTTTTTGAATGTAATCCAGTCTGGAAGACTGAGTTCTGAAATGTTTGAAAACCAAGGGATCAACAGCCAACAGCTAGGCCTCAGCATTTTGCACTCAGCGGAAGCCGTATGGCATGTTCGACTTCAGAGGTATGTTTGAAAACCGAAGCATTTACTTCCCGAGTTTACGGTGTTCGTAAACCAAAATGTTCGTCAACGGAGAAGTTTGAAAACCGAGGTACCACTGTAATAGATTTTGCATACTTTAACCTACTTCTCCCTGCCCTCAGAAAGCATCTAAAATTTCCCCGTGGCTCATTTGCTTATTGTACACAACATGATGGCAGACATAAGGTAACCTCTAAGGTCAGGAAACAAATTCCAAATACATGCATGTTGAATAAGTGTCCTCTGAGAAATCATAAGACTTGGAGATTTACACAAGCAGGGAGTGAATGTGTTTTTCTTCTGAACCTACTGCAAAGCAACTTAGTATTATCTATTATTTATATGTCTCTATACTATAAACATTGGGAGAGACATAAGAGTATAAAATATGATCTGTTACAAGTGAATTTCCTCTCTAGTGGAAAACATAATAGTTCAACAATAAATGCTCTCATGCCAAGAAATTAGGTTGGCACTGTGTTTTCAAGGGCCTTGTCTAATGAGGTATGCACACAAGCATACTACAAGGCAGAATGTGATGAGTGACACAAAAGTAAAAAGCTATATGGGAATAGAGTATTTACAGAGATTGTATGGCTCACAAAGTCTAACATATTTACTATCTAGTCTTCCCTGAAAGTTTGTTGATCCCTGATCTGGACCCTCATCTCCCAAAATTCCTTAAAATGTACGATTATTGCTAAAAGTGCCTTAATAATTATACTGTATTTTATTTGTTTTGTTAATCCTCACCAGGGTATACATTTTCTATTGCTTCTAAGAGAGAGTGGAAAGGGGGAGACAGAGACAGACACATTGGTGGGCTGCCTCTTGTATGCCTCCTACCAGGTATGGAAGCCAGACCCCTAGACATGGGCTCTAATGGGGAATACAACAGGCAGGCAGGCAAACTTTCAGTGACCCAGATGATGCCAAACCGAGTAACCAACTGAGCCACACCCGCCAGGGCATAGTTACTTAATTGCAATGATGAGTATATTGCAATTAATACTTTGAGAACTTATCTTAGACCCAGCTTACAAAGGGACTCTGCTCAAAAGTAGTCATCATGCTAGAGTATTCATTCCCAGAACAGAGTTGGATGGTTTAAAAACAGAAATACAGATATCTTTGCATATTTGGGTCACAATGGTCTGTCAAGGCTTACATTTGTGTAACACTAAGTTAATGTCCTGGGTTGTATAATCCTTGCAAGTCATCTTTAAGGGTAAACTGACGTCATCTCAAAGTTAGAATTCTCAGGGAGAAAAATAACTTCCTATTTCCTATTTGTATTCATATTACACTGAAAACAAGTTTTGAATAATCTTCAATGCCACCTAAAGTCTGAAATAAAGCAGTAACTTATTTGATGTAAGAATAAAAAATGAACACCTCAGCTACATTAAACAGTCCCAGTTCGGTGGGTACTCTGTTTCTGCCCCAAACATGATAGACAGTGTTCACAGAAAATCGGGGGTGCTCGCGCAGGGATATCAGCATCGGAGCGGAGGCCACAGTCGACACAGGTGACCTGATCAGCTGAGCACACCCGGCTGACCCGAGGGCAGGAAGTCCAGGCCGTGGAGCAAAGACTCCACAGCATTGCGCGTCGTGGTTACAGACATCTACATTATTCTTTGGTTACGAGCACCTTTCCTCCATTAACTTAGCTTCCCACGCTCCGGGCAGTAACGTCTTCTCCTAAGTAAACAAAAATTAAGCACATTAAAATAACAAAACATATCTTCTGCGCGCATTAGAGATCCGCGTCCCAACAGCTACGCAAAGCAAGCCCAGGCCCCGCGAGCGCGACGGCGCGGAGTATGACGTAAGTGGGTGGGGAAACTACCTGGATCGCGAGAGCGCAGGCGCAGCGATGGTCTCGGGGCCCAGCGGTCGAGCCCTTTCTAGTAATTTCGCTAGCCGTGAAGTCATCCAGGTGCGCCGCGAGTTTATTTTTTGGTGAAAGCAGTGAAAAGAAAATGAACTGACCTCTCCCGCCCCGCTGTACTTTTAGTCTTTCACTTTGGCTGTGCCTAAACGCTGACCCATGGAACGGGAGAGGGGAAGCCAAGCCGCAAGAGCTCGAAGCCGAGCCGGTCGGGCAAGACTCTCTGACGCCGCCAGCCGCGTTACCCGGCGTGCCTCGCGCGGCGCTGGCGGAGGAACGTGGGGGAGGGGGTGGGGAGGAGGAAGCGGCGGCGGCTGCGGATGTCGCTGCGACCGAGCGGTGTCTGAACATACGGCGGCTGCGGAGCGCCCGACCCGGGCCTGCGCCGGAGCCCACGTCCAGCTCCGCGGACCCTTGCCCGCTAGGGCGGCCCTGCGCCCGTTGCCACAGAAGCGGCGCGTCCTGCATTCTCCGTTGTCCGGGCCAGCCGGCTCTGGCGTCTGCTGGCTTCGCCTCGCTCGCTTGCTCCCTCCTGAGTCACCGCCGCCGCCATGGCCGATAGTGGTGAAAGCGGTGGCCCTCCGAGCTCCCAGGACAGCGCCGCCGGAGCCGAAGGTACTGGCGCCCCCGCAGCCGCTGCTTCTACGGAGCCCAAGATCATGAAAGTCACTGTGAAGACCCCGAAAGAGAAGGAGGAGTTCGCTGTGCCCGAGGATAGCTCTGTCCAGCAGGTGAGGACCTCCCTCGGCTCGGTACGGGGCGGGGGTGGCGGCAGGACCTCTGCCCACCGCGGGAGGAGGTGGCTTTGCAAAGGCCGGGAGGGGTCTTCCCCAAGGTGCTCCCGGCCAGTCTCAGGGCTCATCCCTAATTAGATCACACCCAAGTTCGTGGGTTTGCTTCTTGGGACACCGCAGAGGTTTGTGGCGGTGCCGCGCGGCCTGTTTGTGGGACGCGCCGACACCTCTGTCCTCCGCGCCTTCCTCCCGCTTCGGCCTCCACGGACCCCCAGCCTCCGCCCCCA